GCATGGTCATATGTAGACCGAACACTCAATGGGAAGAAAATAAGAGATGTGATCACATCTGTACCCCAAGCTTGGCTGTGGTTCATGGGTGACATTTACAGACAATACAATAAGGCTACAGGCCCAGAGCTAGAAGCTAAGTCAACGACTGCCGCTGCCAGTAGTGGCACTAACAAGCACTGTGATGCGGAGGCTGGGATGAGAGGCCTACCGTATTCTCCCAGAAGGAGCCTCAGTGTTTGAGAGATGGCTAAAGGATAAGACGAGGGTGCCTCCCTCCATGTCACCAGGAAGTAACCACCCACGAATGCATCCGTGGAAAACAAGCTATAATTCTGAGCCAGATCACCCCTGGGGGATCTGATAAAGTCAGTTTTCTGGCCCCCACAACAGGGAGAGCCAGATGGACGGTGAACTAACCTCAGGCCAGCGCAGTTTCCTGCCGACGTTTGTCGTGCTTCAGCAGCCAGGAGTGAGTGGGGAGAACTGAGATGTTCACTGCAAGTTTAGCGCCGTGAGTGGGTCCACGACCCATGGCATTTCAGAAGCGCTGACAGAAACCCACGGGTGCAGATCCCGGGCAAGGAGGCCAAAGGCAGCTCTGTTTCTCTCAGCCCTCGTTAACCTGGCAAGTCAACCAACCGTCTCAGCCCAGATCTTGTCAAGTGTTTGTTTGCCCTTGTTACAACAAAACACTTCCCACCCAAGCCCACGGGGAGCTTTCGTGTGTTGACGAACAGGAATGAGGGTGTCGTGCAGCCTTCTCAGGACCTTCACAGAGGGAGCCGTTGCTACCCACCCTGCTTAGGACTTCAGGCAGCACACTGCTCTTAGTCCCCAACAAGAGGGACCTCTGGCCTCATCCCGCATTGCACAGGTCAGCTGACACTCTCTCTGGCCACACCCTCCATGGGGGTGGAGTCAGCAGGGCCAAGGGGACACACCCACCTGGTGCTTTACCATGCCTGGCTATCCAGGACCACAGAATGTCCAGCCCAAATAGACCTGAGCCCACTTCTAGTGTCTGCACAGGTTCTTCCCAGAGTCCACATTCCCAAGGACTCACAGTGGCCAAAGGGCAGCTATTTGCTTGGGAGGTATGGACAGAGCCTGGACATGAAGTCTGGGTGTCCACAGGTGTGCACACAAGGCCACTTGTGGCAGGTGAAGGACCCAGCATTGGAAAGAGAGGAGTAACAAGCCTCAGACTAGTGGTTAGAGGTTGGGCATCAGCTCTGCCATCTTCCTCTGTGGAACTCCAATGAGTCTGAAAACTCTAAATTTGAACCTGGCCTTCCACTTCATTATGAATGTATATTTGTAAAGATAGGAGGATGGAACATATTTAGCTTAAACTGTTTAGCTTGATTTAAAACTTTTCAGTGTTTAGGCATCTCGTGTGTGAGCCTCCAATTATACCCTGGCCCTATACCCACAAAGATGCAAAACAGTTATGTCGGTTTGGGGCAACCCTTGTTGCTTGTTGAAATTGTACAAGCAAAGACCCACTCTAGAGAGGAGGGACTCCTGTGGCTTGCTCTGAAGTCAGGATATCTTGAACAGACAAAATGGAAATTGAGATCATCAATTTTAAGTTTATTTGGAATGATGCCAAGGGTGTGTGAGTATGACTGTGTGTGTTATGTGGGGTATGTGGGGGTGTCTGTGCATGTGTTTGCGTGTATGTGCATGCATTAGTTTTAAGAATAGTAGAAGCTGACCTTTACAGGTCTGAAGAAGTGGATATTTTATGGTGTCTCTCACAGTACAATTCAAAATTAAATATCTTAAATCATCAAAAATTAGTCACCCCAGATTCTAATTTTTTTCCCTATTGATTAGTTCTTCATTTTGCACATTAGGAAACCGTAGCTTGAAGATGTTAAGTGACTTACCCAAGGGCACAGAGCTCATGAGCCCAGGGCTGGGATTCAGTCCACGCAGTGTGGCTCCAGAGCTCTGGAACCCTACTCGCTATCGTGCACGGCCTCTCGGCTGGGGGAACAGATCTCAATGAGCTGGGGCCATTGGGCAGACTGCCCAAAAGAAGGGGACTCCAGAAGCCGTCCTGGATATTAGACAAGTGTTAAGGGCTGCTCAGAAATCAGATAGGTTCTTGGGTCTTGGATGAATAAGAAAGCTCACTGCTGGTGACAAAAAGAGATCAAGGTCCATGACAACACTGCTAGGGGCTCCCTGCCAAAAAAATGGACCCAGTACTGCTTGGGACTGATTCTGCAAAGCGGGAGCAGAGAAAGGAAATGTCGCCTCCTACTGGACATATTTGGGACTGGCAGTAGGACATACAGCTGTCTTAGTAGGTGGCAGACAAAGCAGCTTTCCTGTGTCATGGTGGATGATCACTTTCAAGGATCTTAAAAATAATTGTTTTATGTATTTTATCCATGTTTTTGGTTATTTTAGGGAGGGTGGTAAATATGGTCTCTTTTTTTCCATCTTGGCTGCATTCCTATTGATTCATTTTTCACTGTTATCTTTCTCTTTAATGATTTGGAAGTTGTATTGCCTTTTAATGAAAATTATCTATAAACTCTTATAAATTATCACTAAGTTCACAACTTTATATGTAATTGAACCAGTATTCCTCTAACAATTTAAAAACCAAAATAATCTATGAGCTCCCTTTCATCAATAATGATAAAACTAGTTTATTTTACTTCTCTGCTGCCCCAAGGTGTATGTGTATATATATTCCAATAACTGCTTTTTTAACGATTGCTTAAAGTTTATTAACAATGAAAGATTAGACTTAGCTATAAATTTATGTGATTTGATTGCTCACTACCATTTTTTAATCCTATGTCTTTCCCATTCTTGAGTTATTTACTTATATTGATTTCCCAGTCAACTGGAGACATGATTGGCTGATTTTTTTCAAGTGGTGAACTTGGGATCCTTACATGTGCAAACATATCTTTATGTCCTCATTCGTGATCAACAGTATTCAACCTGCCGTCGACCCCCTATGCTTCAATTTTAAAATATGGCATAGGTTTTCATCACTAACAAATGTTTTCTTGATTTAAAGTACTTCCTTTTCATGACCGGCTGGTCTTCTCTGAGTCTTCTCTGATAAATGGAATATTAATAGAAATTTTCTTAACCTTCCTCCTGCTTCTTGCCATAACTCAGCTTCATTGAGGAGCATGTCTTCTAATTTCTCAGATGGGTCCCCTGCTTTTGAACTACTAAATTCTGACCACCTTATTTTTCTCCATGCTTATTCTTGACACAGTAATATCTCCGACCAAATTAAAAATGGTTCCCATCAGAGAGGTGGGCCTCCCTGTTCAGAGACCCAAGGAGGAGAAAAGGAAAGATTTCTATTCCTTCTGGTTATATTTTGCCAGATTAGAGATCTAGCTGTGTGGCAGCAGTGGAATCCACAATAACTTGGCTGAAAGTTTCCTTTTTCATATTTATTAGTCAGTTGGCATTAGCTGGGGTCATGACACCCTTCTCTGACCCTTGCCAGGATCCTGGTGCTGAGGCATCCCCCTCATTACCTAGACTTTGCAAACAGTGTTCTGGCATTGTGAACCCTGGCACTTTGCTCACTGCTCTCGAAGCCAGGGTTGGCCCCTGCCACAATTCCCCAGTGTCCCCAGCCCTTCCTTACTGCTGTCAGCTAGCTGGCTTCCACTGCCCTTCCTTACTGCTGTCAGCTAGCTGGCTCCCACTGCCGGCCCCTCCCCTCCCTCTCCAGGCAGACTCCCTCTCACTTGCAGCGAACTGCAGGTTGGTTGGCCCTAGACTCTTCTCTCCTGCGCTATACACTGCGAAGAAACTCAGTATTCTCACAGGTAGAGGGCACTCTGCTCCCATGTTTGTATCCCCTTATTCTTCGCAGTGGAAATTTAGGAGGATGAGGAGCAAGAGTTCAACTGGTGAGTTTGTGCCACCACCTTCAACTGCAGCAAGCTTTATAAAGTGGTGTCCGCACACTGACTGTGGTCCCTGGCCTGATCAGTGCACATGGCTGGGAGATCACAGAGCTGAGAAGTCACGTTGCTTACAAGCGGTCTCCTTGGTAACTTCAGGAGAGGAGAAACTGATGGCTTTGGGGCAGGGGAGGGCCTGGGCTCCTTGTGGGTAGGTCCACAGGAGCCCATGGGGGCTCAGGGTAGCTGGATGTAGGAGGCAGCACTGGAGGAACCGTTCCACCAGGAAGCAGTGGGTCTAACAGCGATGATCGAAACTGCTTCGTGGAGCTTTGCTTAGGACATTGAGGCAGTGGGAAGTGGTGGAAAGAGCAAGGCTTGGTTACCCAGAAGACCTGGGTGTGCATTTCGGCATCACCACATATTAACCTGCGGCCCATGAGCATCTCCTTGTTTCAGAGCCTGTTTTTCTCATCTGTAAAGTGGGTAATAACAAACAGGACCGCCTTCTGAATTTTATGGAGATAAAGCCAGATGTGATATGTAAGACACTTAGATGCCTGACCTACGTGCACGGATGTTCAACAAATCCCGGGCTCCTTATCTGAGTGAAGGGGACCTGGGAGGGGGCAAAACGGGCTCTTTCCTCTTCTTCCTCTCCCCTAGTGTCTCCAGTCCCCTTCCACACTCTGGGGCGACATCTTAGCTCTCCCCAGCTCTGACTCTGGCCTGACACCCCTTTCCATTCCAGCCTGAAAAATCTGCCCCTGCTGCTTCCCTGAAGGGACCATCCACATGTTCGTTTTTGCAACTCCCCCCACCCCCGATCCCAAACCATCTAAATGCATCTTCCTCCACAGAGATGTTTGCAAGTCCACGTGGGGTTTTTCTTCTTGGAGGACTATAGCCTTTTATTACCTCCCACCCCAATCAGAACTCAATTATTCATATGTTCAGCTTTCCACATGTGAGGAATGGTTTCAAAGACAAGTTTCTTATGTGGTCAGATGTTTCCATACGTGGACTGCCTTTCTGGCGTCTGCTCCCCTGGGAGCTGGGAGACCTGGGTGGCCAACAGAGATGGGTCACACACCGGGAGGCCAAGCACGGTAGATTTACTAGGGTAATATCTGCAGGTGAGATCACAGCACGTACATACAGAAATCCACGGGCAGAGGTACCGCCCGGCACCACAAACACCAAAGCAGCGGGAGGGCCCAGGAAGTGGCTTTGGAAAGTTCTCTCGAAAATCAAAGGGCAGCTTTGGTGCTCAGAGATTCAAACAGAAAACTATACAAAACCAACTCATAAATATATATATATTATATATGTGTATATATATATATAAAATTGCAAAATAAAAGCCCAAGAAACTAATCATCAATCTGCACGTCAGTGGCTCAAAAGTGTTAGCATAGAGAAAGGCAAAACCGTGTGGGGTTGATGCATGATCCAGGGGGCTGGCATGTCAGTAGCAGAAAGAGTATTTACATGGAACCCCTATTTGAAACTTCACGATACTAGGAAAAGCTAAACACAGACAGTGTATGTACAAAGGAAGACGATTGTCAGACACAGACATTTCACTGAGACCATCCACAGCTTTAGAGAACACCACACTTTCTACCTAGATCCCCACACCCCCAGCCCAGCGAGCCCAGGCTCTGGATTATTTCTTCTGCCCACCTCTCCTCTTCCCGGGAGAGGATGAACACTGGACTCAGCAGTTGTAGCATAGATTGCAGGAATTTAAAGGTGGTGCAGACCATGGAGAGCGACAAGCAGACCACAGAGAGCAACAATCACCCACAAAGCAGGCCCAACAGGCGTGAGGTGGAAACGTGGGGGTGGGGGTCCCCGAAATATATTCCCATTTATAAGGGCTTTGTTGTATTTAAATATGGCCCCTCTGTCCTCGGTCCAACTGTCATCCTCTTTCCGATTCTCTTTAAAAGGGAAGATCTGGCCTTTGAGTCTCTAAAAGTTATACAGGATGATTTGCTGGAGGGTAGAAGAGTTTAGGGTTTTTCCACTGTTATTCTCGCACCACCGCCTAAACCCTCACATTTTCTTTACACAACTGAGAGATAAGGGATTTGCCACATCACAGCTGACCTCATCCTGCTGCTTGAGAAACACTGGGCAAGACAAGGAGCCAAGGACCCAACTACACTGGGAAAGCTACAGGTACTTTCCCACACTGAGGCTCTGGATCCAGCTATACCTGAGTCCCTCCCCTGTGTCAGTAACAGAACCATTTCTCCTCCATCTGCAGGCACCAATTTCTCAAAGCAATGACTCAACTTTTGGGGACATCCTGAAGGCAAATGGCACCAAACATCAATTTGGCAAAACCTAATGCCACTTAAGTACAAACCAATGCAAACTAACCATTACTTCCGTATTCTTAAGAAAACCCTCACCTGGAGATTCCTTCTAATTGTTTCTAAAAAGAGAAGCCAGCCTATAAAAACAATGAAAGGAGCTTTCTCCACTAAAGGACACCCCATCTGAAATAGCCACGTTGATTCCTGGGGGAGTGTGGCTTCGCACTGTGAGAGGCTCAAGGGGGCTGGGTGTGCCTTGGTGGCAGGGCTCTATGTGCGCTCTCTTATTTCTGGCAAAAAGTATGCCCCATCCAAGAGGACAGATTAGTTAGGGCGTTTGGAAGTAATCACTCTCCTGTGTATGCTTTTTCATATTGTGGCACAAGTAGAACTATGCACAGAGAAATAACCAATAAGCACATTTCATCAGTCACTTCAGGTATCTGACTTCTCTTATTAAATTATCCTTTTTGGAATAGATGTGCGACAGTGGCGATATGATGTCCTATCAGGTTTTGAATTCTGGGATGCCCTGTCCTTTCCATGGGAGTGGAGGGCATGTATTTCTCCCTTCCCTCATTTCTTCTCAGACTCTGAATTGTATTGTCTTAGAGAGCTTGCCTGGGCTCCGGTGGTGAGAAGATGTAACAAGACCTGTTTCCTCTGTGCTCAGAGTCAACTGCTACTGTGCCCACCGACTCAAGGGTTTCTCCTGATCCAGAGGAGTAACATGAGTAAGCGCTATATGTCCTTTCATTTGTTCAATAGTCAAAAACTGAATACTCTTGGCCTGGGCCTAGAACATAAACTTCACACTTTTGCAAAAGACGGCATACAGGCCAATGGTAAGCTGCGTGTCTATCTAGCCCTATGCACAACTGCATGGAAAAAATGCAAACTTCTTTTTAGCCATTTAGACTTTCAGAAGTGAATTGGGCTCTTGGGCCAATGGTCCTTTCAAATCCACAGCAACTAGCAGAGTGGCTTTATAGCATTTCTCTTCTCTGTCTCGCCACATTCATGAGTGGGTGACACAATACTAGACAGGGAACAGGATTCAAAGCTCAGTGTACATAAATCAGAGGTATAAGGCTTCCCAGTGGGGTTCTTAGTGGACCAGGTTCCTCATCCAGATCCCCCCAAGTCCTTTAAAAATCACTTATCTGTCTGCAGAGGGAGAACCCAATTTTAGCTACAGGAGTGTTGAGGGAAGTTATTATCATCATAAATAACCTGGTTGTCGTAGGACAGTTATCTGGGTCACCTGCTGGGTCACCTGCAGGCTAGGAGGCGCTTATGGAGCCCAGATCTGGACTAGGGGGTTGTCTCTTGGCAGTGCTTTTTGCAAAGTGTGAGGAAAGGTCACATGTGTGGATGGTGCTCCCACACCAGAGCTGGGTGCCAGCCACGGGTGCACAGATTCTTCCCATGGGAACAGCCTCAAAACCTTCCCACTTCCCAGCTCAGCCACCACAGCACAGCACATTGGTTCAAATGTTCTCATCCCTTTTCTGCGGCATATCCAAACACAGTGGCTTTCCTAGACGCAAACCTATTGCCTACCAATTCTGAGCTCTCCATATATATTTTTTTCTCCAGACAGATATTGGCCTAAGTTTTCAGCCAACTTTTATCCAGAGCCAAAGAAAACGCCCCTCCTCTCACTCTAAAAGCCTAGGATTTTGTTTGGACTGCTCTTCTGCTTCAACAGCCTTCAGTGCATGGCCTCCAGGCCTCCAAGCCCGGAGCTAAGCAGGCCACGTCCTACACGAACAAGGAAAGAAACTGGCAGAACGACTCAACAATTCTCTCAGCAATTCTACCCCAAGACTAAACAGAACTGGAACCTACACTAAGCGTTAACTGTTCGAACAGTTCCCTGTCATTGCTGAAAATCTCTCTTAAGATGCCTTATCCAAAGAATTTTGTGGAGATGAATTCCGTGCTGGAAGCTATTTGCTCTAAAGGAAAATGTAGTGGAAGGCAGGCCACCAAGCACGTTTTAGTAGTGACGTTTCAGAAACGTGGAGACCTCCCATGCCTTCTGCCCGCTCCTCTCCAGGCCGTTCTCCACTGTGCCAATGAAGACGTTTTTCTGATCATGACTCTACCCTGATCACAAGCCCTCAGTGGCTCCAAATCCTGAACATGATACAGTCTAGCTCCTCCACACCTTCTACAAGTTTCTTTATGATCCAGCCCTGCCCACCAGTGAAGTAGACCCGCCCTCCCTTACACTTGATGCTCTGGTGGTACTGAATTACTCAGAGGACGTGTCATGGAGTCTCACGCTTCCACACCTTTGCACATGCTCTTCCCTCCTCACAAATGTCCTGCCAACCCTTTTGTTCTCCTGGAAAATTCCTCTTTGTTTTAAATACCTAACTCAACCATCACTCCTTTCAGGAAGGTTTCTCTGGCCTGACAGACAGTAAATCATTGCTTCCCTATGCCGCCTCCGCACACTTGCCCATTTTCTAACTCGTCTACATGCCTCCTATATTAGAATGTCTTGCCCTCCAGCCTGGCCCATGACCCACGCTCATGCGTGTTTTTTGCATGCACGAAGAATGAACAAATGGGTAAATAGGACGCAGATTCGTGGCATAAATTCCAAGGACAATGCTCCAGCAAGGCTCAGGCATTTTTACCTAAACAAGGCCTCACTGTTGTAAAGGGAATACAGGGAATTTGTTGATGCAGAGTCAATCAACATGATCCCTAAACGCGACCACTCAAACACAAAAAGCTGCGTCAGTGGCTGTGTCCACTCCACCCTTCCCTTAACGCTGCTCGCCGCTGATTATTCTAGTCACAAGAACTGTTTTCTTTTAAAGTCAGCACAATGTCTGACGCTTAGTGAGTGCTTTACAAATATTGTGAAGGGATGAATGAATGAATGTGAAATCTATTTTTTAAAAGAAGGCATCAAAGGATTGGCTTTTAAAGGCATTTCCAATATCACAGACTTTTCTGGGGCATCAGTGCCCCTAACCGTTGGGTTGTCTATCAGAAAGCAGAACAGACAGAGGGGGCCTGGGGTAGTGGTCAGGAATCTGCATCATAGACACACAGTATGGGGTTTTCCTTAGTTATATGTCAGTTTCCTTCCTTCTCAAGAAATAGCCCAACTATGGATCATATTTCCCGTCCCAACCAAAAGGCTCTTGCCTCTCTTTTGTCAGAGGTCCACACTGGCCTCGCCACAGTCCATGATAACCAGGAACTTAATGTGCACTGATTGGGGCAGAACACAGGTAGTTTCCTACCTTCATTTCAAGTGCTAACATTACATAGCGGAGGCCAGTCACAGACATGGGTCCTGGACTAAGACGATCACCCTGACAATTAAAGTTTTCTGATCATCCTGGCTGTTACGAGCAAAGGCTCCAGACTTGGACTGACCTGGGTTCAAATCCAGACTCTGGATCTTTCTAGCCAAGTCACCTGGAACAAGTCAATTATCTTTTGGGGGCTCAGTCTGCATACCCAGAAATTGGGAATAATCTTACCCACATCACAGGATTGTTGAGAGGGTCAAAGGATATAGTGCTTGTAAAGCCTTCACAGTGTCTATATATATGTATATATAGTAAGTGCTCAAAAATGGAAAACTACGACTAGGAACTTTCAAAAATACTTTTACAATAATTAGGACAAGAAGGGAAAATATTCTTTGAAGACACTGTGCTTTAAAGTGAATGGATTGTCGGGTTTTTAGGAGCCAACAATGCTCATTAATCAATGCCCCATGGAAGAATCTGCAAAGACAGTGTTGGCATTTAAAACAATAGCTGTGGCTAATATCAGGACCCAGGATGGACAGGAACAGGGCCAGGGACACCCAAGCATTTCTCTGATAGCTGATCCTGAGGATTAATCCTGAAGGGCTCATCTCATTCTCCTCTGCTGGACCCATGGTGACTGAATCAGAACCCAAAGGAGCCAAGGTCAAGGTGCCAAGGGTAAGATGCCAGTTCCAGTCTGTGAGCCAGTGGTTCCAGGTGTGAGAAAGGTCAGGGAACACTTGACTGCTGGACAGGAGTGAGCCAGGGAGAGCCGCATTGCTCCACTCATCATGCAAAGCTAGAAAGGCAGAGCATATTCTGTGCTGTTCTGATCCTCCTTGGACAACCCAAAGCTAACAGAGGATCTAAATTTCCCCAAGTTTCTGCCCTGAGCACGAAACAACTTTTTCTAAGCTAAGTTTGGTTTTGAAGCGTCTGAGATGCACAATTCCAGTGGGTCAAGTTCCTGGCTTCTTACATTAATTAAACTATCCCTAATTCTATGGCTGACTCAGCTTGCCCTTCTGTCTGCCAACTCTTACAAGTCTTCCAGCCATCATTCAGGAGGTTCCATGAAGAAAGCTCAGGGGTAGTGGTTGGGGAAGTGCAAGTTAAGCCATCAGCCCTTGGGAACAAAGATTAACTTCTGTTGGAGGGGATGGGTCAATTTGTCTGGTTACTGTGAGCAGCAGGACAGGGACCTTATGCAAAGGAGAAGAGAGATTTCTAAACGTAGTGACAGCTCCATCAGCAGGAGATTGGGTTCCCGTGAGGAAAAGGACCTTGCTGAGGGGGAGCCTTGACCTGTCTGATTTAGTCTGAGCCTGTGAGAGCCTGCGGCCCACTCTGGCCTCCTTGCCACCGGCTCAGATCAGCAGGCAGCATCCTCACAAAGGCAGCCCACAGCTAGGCAGTGTTGTGTAGTGGAAAGAGCACTGGACCGGGAGCCAGGAGACCTGAATTCTAGTGCAGGCTCTGCCACTAACGAGCTGTGTGGCCTTGGGAAAGTCACCTGATGTCTTTGGGGCAACTGTAAAATGAGGAGTTGGTCGGGCGATCTCTAAGTTCCCCCTCAGAGTGTGATCCAGGGTCCTATTCTATCCCTCCTTGGCCCTGTGCTTCCAGGGACACAGATGGGAGAAAGGAGGGGAGGAGAGAGAGGATGCAGATGGGAGCCCAAGGGTGCTACGAATCAGGACTCCACTTTCTCCTTCTTTTTGCTCTTTTTCAGGAAGGATGGGGTTCGGAATTTCTTTTTCTTCTTTGAGGGAGACTTGGAAGGTGAGCCCTCTGGGGACATGGGGCCACTGGTGACCGATTCGGTTTTGTCCTTAGAGGTATCGACATCCGTGTCGGCAGTGGTGGTCATCTGGCTCAAGCCTTTGCTGAGAATTTCCTCTGCGGTCTGCTCATCCTCCCTCCCGTTCACCACCACCTCTTCTGGCTGCGTTGTTTCAGGTTCTGTGGTGGCTTTGCTTGTGTCTGTCTTCTCAGCACCTTCTAGAAAAAGATCAAAAGACACGACCCATAAGATTTTATTCAGGTGAGAGCTTCCAACTGGGGTTACCAGAGCCATTTCTAGGCAATTCTATAAAGTAAATGTAGAGCGATGGGAGGGGCAGGCTGACACTGTAGGAGGCAGGGGTAGGCAGGGTCCTCATCCAAACTCTACACCCCCTTCCACAAGGCCTGCCCTGGGGAGGAGCCCTTGGCAGGTCAGCAACTCTGGGCTCTTGTCTACAAACGTAAATAGGTAATGATGTCCAAACATGGCAGGGGCCCAGCTAGGGCCCAGTTCAGAGCTTTTCTAGGCCCAGAACAGAGGGACAGATACAGGTGAGGACAGAGGCTGCAGGAAGGGGGAGAGCGGTATCATGTACAACTCAGTGGAGGCATCTAAGAATTGTAACTGGTTCAGTTTCATTAATAAAAATACGGAAATGATGTTTTTTCATACCCATTTCATTTCTTACCCCAATGAGGAAATTTTGGAAATATGGAGACTATCTTCCCCATCAGCAGAGAGGGGGAAGGCAGAGGGAGGATGGAACTCCCAGAGGGACACAGATGCTGTGTTTCCAAGATACGAGGATTCACCAAAAGGAGAAGATGCCTGGTTGGCCCATTCTAGCAGCCACTGGGCCCCTCAGGTCTTTATTCCACCTTCCAGATTGCCACCATGTTCAAGGCCAGAACTGCTCAGACCCCAGAAATCAAACCCTTCTGTGACCCTTTTTCCCCCTTCTCACTCTCACCCCACTGTGCTTCGACTCTAGCTTTGAAATGCTGGAAGGAGGGAAAATGGTACAACCACAGACTTCAGAAAGCACAAAGGAACGTAAAGATCATCCAGCTCACCTCCTCCCCATTTTGCAGACACGAAAACTGAGGAAACAGCAAAAGGGTGGGCAGACCTCAGTCTCCTGACATCCAGTTCAGTGTTCTTTTCACTACGTGAAACCCAGAGGAGTGTGTGCGAGTGTGAGGTGTGCGAGTGTGAGATGGAGGAGCCCCACATGCTCTGCTCCACAGGAATGTGAGTAATGGGGAAAGCAAGACTGATGATACAGAAGGAGTGGGTGAAGAATAAGGTTTAGGAAAAGGCTAGGCTTCTTGACAGGGTCAAGACTGGGGACACGTATGGTTACATGGAGGATGGGACAGAGCGGGGTAAATTTGGGGTCAGCTAGAACGGGCTAGTTTAACTCTCTGGGTAAACTCTGGGTAACGAGGTATTTCGTAACTTCTGAAATTGGCTGGGCAAGTCAAAGTCCTCGCCCAGATGACCACTGAGGGCTGTCTCTCTCTTAGTACCACGGACCTTGGCCTCTGGCTCCCATTCCTGTGGTCTGGCCCACATCCTGTCATCATCCAACTACCAGGTTCTCCAGCGCCCTTGACTCCTACAGCCCTCAGCCCCCTCCCACCGTGCATTCCCATGGCTGTCATCTGGCAGTACTGCAGCAAGCCAGTCTAGACACAACCTTCTCTCTGTCCATTCTCCTCACTTCCCCTGCTATTTGGCTGCATGACCCTCTGGTCCCTGGACCCCTCCCTGTCATCACAGCCTTTTCCCTGTGTGCGTGTGGAAGGCCCTTCTCTCTCCTGTCTGTGTCCCCCAGCTTCACCTCATACAATAAATCAGCTCAAGTGTCACCTCTCCCTTAGTCTTCCCTGGTCCCATCCCTGCTTCTAGGTGGAATCTGTCGCTCCTTCCTTCCCGTCCCCACTAGATAAACTGCCATCAGAGCAACCGTAAAACCACCAGGCTTCTTTTTTATGCCCATCTCCTTCTCAAAACTGAATAAATTAGGGCAAGACTATGTCTCATTATCTACGTAATTAGCTCATAGGAGGTACCCAAAAAATGTCTGTGGACTCCATGAATGGCTGAAGGCATAGCAAACAAAAGAACGTGTGACTGGTGTTAGTCTAAGCCAACGAGCCTACGAGCCAACGAGCCTACGAGCCAACACCACACCTCCAACTTCTTTCTTCTCTGTCCCAGCCTGAGCCTTCAGAGCTGAACTGGACCCAGCCATGTAAACAAATAGCAGTCCCCAGTCCTGGCCTTTATCTTTGTACCTGTTCTCCCATCCTCACTCTCAGTCTCCAGGGCTCCCATGGGTACACCCCATGGTTCTGCCACCTCAGTCCCTCACTGCAGGCCCCTCATCTGGATGGCCCCTCACTAGGATGTGTTTCTTTCTCTAGGCTGACCCTCTAGGAAGATTTTGGTACTTGCTTTCTAGCTCCATGAACACCAGTGTGGATAAGAGGGGCTCCCACCTCTGTCCAGGTGCCATCTCCTGCCCTGGGGGTGACGAGTATCCTTACTCCAACAGCACCCTTCATCCATGTGCTTCACCCACACCCGCCCTGCTGTCAGCCTCACCTACAGCCTCAGCCCTAGGTCCATGTCTTGGTTTAGGAGAGCGGCACTTACAGTTCTTCTCACATCCAGAAGATGGGGCCACATGGGGTGTGCCCACACTATGGACTGAGAGAGCTCCCCTACTAGGAATTGTTTGGGGGAGTAGCAGCAAGTGAAGATACAATAGGTCTTGGAGGAGCCAGGTTCCAAATCGAGGTCACCACTCCCTTAGCTCTAGGGGAGACAGAACACTAGAGGGTTCTATTGGCCCAGAGAAGGGCTGGTGGGGCAGGGCTCCAGAAATAAACAATTATTAGTCTCCTGGAGAATATCAAGGAGCAGTTCTGAGGGCTCCAGATCCCTCCTCTGTGAATAGCCCAGGAGAGTTAAGGTTGGAACCACACAGAGCTCTCAACTGGTCATCAGCTATTTGAAGACCAGGCTGGGAAGGGCCCCAGGAGCTCGGGGCAGATGGGAACTCACCTTCTTAGCATCCTCTAAGAAGAACCACTGGCTTTCTCTCCCAGGTGGGGCACTTGGAGCTCTGGGAGTAAGGAAGAGGTGTGGGGGTGGGTGGAGTGGGGCAAGCCTAGAAAATGGGGGCCTCTGTCCAAGGATGGTGGCCAGGAAGCTGGGAGAGAGGGAATTAGGAGGGTTGGTGATTTGGAGCAACAATGGACTTGGCAGCCAAGGTCCACATCCAGACCTCTGTGGGTTGGGAGACAAAGGGCTGAAAGGTTTGCAGAGGCTGGAGGAGGAAGGAGGTGCTTCTGTAGGGAGGTGCAGAGTTTGTTTGGACACTGTACCTCTCAGACTTGATTTCTCACTACCCCTCAGCCTCCAACCACTTGCCTCTCAGTCCTCCAATGTCCCCCTCCAGAAACGACCACTCCCCCAGCTTCCTGGCCACCATCCCTGGACAGCCTACTCTACTCCTATCCGCTAGTCTGAGTATGTATCTCCCCAAGGTCTGGCTCAAGCCTCCTTTGACATTTGACAATGATCTTGCCTTCCTCTAAACCTAGTGCCAATACATTCATTTCACACTTGCATGTGTCATTTATCTTTTCTTTTTAACAGCCCATACTTGGGTGTGGTCTCCCCAAACATACTGAATCTGGGCTGGTCCTGTGGCTCACAGTAACCAACAGAATGTAGAGGAATCGCCACTGAGCCAGCATGAGGCGGAAGACTTAAGAAGACCTAGCAGCTTCTCCTTTTATAGTTTGGGGAGCCCTGAGCCGCCATGTATAAACTCTGACTTCCCTGATGGAAACACACATGGAGAAGCCCTACGAACACATGGAGAGAGAGAGACAAGACAGAAAGACAAAGAGAGAGAAGACCCAGACATTCCAGTGTCTCAGCTGAGCCCTGCCTTCCAGCTGCCCCTGACAAGGCACCTGACATGTGAATGTGCCATCTTGGAGTTCCAGTTTAGCCAAGCTCCAAGATCACTGCAGCCACAGCTGACATCGGTAGAGCAGAAGAACCATCCACCTGAGCCCAGTCAACCCACAGAAGAGCTAATTTCCATAAAACCAGGTCTTATTATGCACCATGATTTAATCATTATCTATTGCTGTATAACAAACCACCCCAAAACTTAGTGGCTTAAAACAGCGAGCAGAGCATTCTCTCTCACAATCCCGAGAACACAGCACATGATGACAACTAATTTATGTAAGCACATTAGAAGTTCCTTTTATATTCATTAGCTCATTTTATCCTGATAATAATGCTGTGAGTTAGGAAGGGCAAGGATTCATGTTATTCCCCAATTCTGCAGTGTTTTAAGTGACTTATTTGAGATGGCTACATTAGTAAGTGACAAAGCTGATCGTCTGATGTTGAATGCAGGGCTATTTCTTTGCAGGCATAGCCAGTGCTCCTGCAGGGTCACTGGGGGATGGAGTCAGCAAGGGCAGGGACAGTCAGGAGCTAATTAAAGAGAAGGCAATGACAGGGATGGCCAAACGTCAAGGAAGAGGATTTGAAAGACTCTCCTTTAGAGAGGTTGATGGGGTAGGAGCCAGGGAGACAGATGAGGAGTGACAAGGAAGTGACTCAGCACAAGAGGACTTGAGAGCAGGATGACAAACAATGAAAGAAGCCATCTCTGATCCAATGGGTGAGCGAAATCGAAATGTGAAAATGCAGATTCTGCTCAGAGGCTCAGCCCTGAATGCCCAGAGAAGCTGGGTAAGCCATGGGACAACCTGGCCAAGGCCACCCAGCTCCATTTCACACTGGTCACCCCAGGCACCCAAGGCACAACTTGTGCCTCATCACGCGGGATCTGCTCCAAGGAGGCCCATGCTCCCCAGCTCTGTCTGCATTACAGGAAGAGTCTTCAGGGAAGACCTTCACTCTTCTAACAACTCAACCATGGTGTGCCCCTCCACAGGAGCACAGATCTGGACCACAGAGAAGCAGGAATCCTGCTGCAGTGGGAACGATGTCAGGTGGTGGGTAAGCAGTTACCCCAGCCATCATACACCCCTCCTCCTGCCCTCTGTCCCGCTGAGCTGCAGAGGTCACTCCAAGGGGCTCTTGGGAGCTGAAATGGAATTGTCACCCCTTGTCCCACTCTTCTCCTGCCTGCAGCTTCATGTGCTGAGGGATGCTGAAGACCAGTCAGACTGGGTGCTCTCTGCATCCCTATAAGGCAGTTGGTTCCCAAAGCCATTCAGGCTCTGGCCCACAGGGCTAGAAGAGGTCGTGGGCTCCTCAGAGGAGCCCGTGCACTAGGCACAGGGATGTAGTGTGCTCCTGAGGGCCATAAGCACTCCACCACAGGCAATGCCCAGGAGCTGGCCCCACTGCCCATTCACTGTGGGGACTTGTTGCTTCTGGGTGGCATGCCCTGAGTGAGCATGGGTGTGTGTTTGTGCATGAGTGTGTCCTATGCGTATATTCTACAGGGAAGCCTAGTCCATCCAGAGCACATGGGAATTGGTCATGAATTTTATAGCCAGGAAACCTCCCAAAGGCAGGGTTGTGAGTTGCAAAAGAAAAAATTGGGGAGAAATATATTTCCTTTGAAAAAGTCCTCCCTCCCCCATTGCAAGTGTTGGTGTGAGTTAGTAAACAGCCTGTCTATACTTACTACAGAGACAAGTATTCAGAATCGGAGGAAACGCCTTTGATGAAGGCACAAATGGGAAGAGAAAGGAAGACATTGTGGAGACAGGTTGACAATACCACGATGAGACACAATGAACACGTACTGACAGGGGACATCCACTTGGGGCTCTGGCCTCAAGCAGATGGGTTTCCTCTGGCATCACTGGGCCTGCACTCAGGCAGCAATTCACCTATGGAGGGAGCTCAGGGTTTGGGGGAGTCCGGCAGCATCCACATGTGTGGCCATTCTACTCAGGAGGGAGAAGATTCTAACACGCTACTAAGCTGTCGCTCTCCGCATGGCGGTATAGCCCTCCCTAGTGAGGGCTCCGGGGGACCCAGGGCAGGAAGGTTCATGTCCTGGAGAGAATCCAGGAGCTCATTAAAGACACTTTTATGATCTAGGTTGTATGGACTATAACAGTATTTCTATCTACCATATATATAATCATAATCATATTAATCATAAGCCTAATCAGATCTTACATTTAAACCATGCTTTTACTCTTTCAAAGTATGTTTTTATGTACAACTTCCCTTATACATATAAGAACCTTAAAAGGGGAAAATATTAGTAGCCCCATTTGACAGACAAGGAAACTCAGGCACTGAGATGGTCTGATTTTCTAAAACTAGCAGTTGAGTTACTGTTAGTTGGCAGCTCATTTGGTCCTAGACCTCAATTTTCTAAACTAGCATCTTTCTAATGATGTGGTTCTCAACCTGACTACATGGCAGATTCATCTGGAAAGATCTTAAAACTCCAGCCTGCACTTCTCCCCACTCCCACTCCCCACCATTGAACTCAGAACTGCTGAGGGTGGGACCCAGACAGGCATCAGGATTTTTAAAGCTCCCTGGTGATTCCAATGTGCAGTCAAGGTTGAGAATGACATCAGCAGCCTCAACTGGGAGCTTGCTGGAAATGCAGTCTCAGGTCCCACCCCAGATCTACTGCATCAGAATCTTCACTTTCACAAGATCCCTAGGTGATCCCCATGCACATGCAAGTCTGAGCACTGGGCTGGGGCATCTAGAAAGGTCCATCAGCCAACCTAGTCTGAATCATAAGTGTGAAAGCTGTGGGTGAATCATTAACTTAATCATCATTGCTTAGACCAGGCTTAAGCTGTAAGGTGTATTGTGACAGCTTGTGAACGAAGCAAGCTTAAATTTGGTGACACCTATTTCAGAAATAGCAGAGGGAAAGCTTTTCAGGTAGGGGGGCAACACCTGTTGAAAGCAGGGTCCCTGTAGTGTGCACACCTGCCCACCTTCCACGCAGACCTCTTTCTCAGCCTGTGGATGCGCCTCCCTCCCTCCAGGCTGCTCAGCTCAACTCACCGTCTAAAGACTTGGAGGGAGAGACCACAGGGCTCTTCGTCTCTGACTTCGCCGGACTCTGTGCTGGAGAAGCAGGTGCAGACTTGACAGGGGAGCCAGGCTCCTCCGTGGCTGTTTCCTTCTCTCCTGAAAATACAGAAAAACCACCTCAGGATAGAGGCCAAGCAGAAGAGAGATGGAGCTCAGAGAGAGCGGGCATTAAAGAAAACTGCTTTCTTCTACTTGGTCTTCATTTCTCCTGGCTGGAATTAGCTGCCTCCACTAACCTGTTTTTAATTTCTGCTACATCGTAGGGGAGGCAAAAGGGAAGAGTCAGAGTCAGGTTCTGTTTCCTCCATCAAAGCACATCCACGGATGGAATATGTTACCTCTGATGTGGACGGCAAGACTGCAGGAGAATTCCTGCCCGTGATCTGTTTGCATGTAGCTCATTTGTTATTTAATTTCTCTAATTCACATGTTCAGTCGAACAATCCCTAGGGATAAAAAGCACCATATTTTTCCATCTACTTTTTCGATTGGCACATGAGAACGCCAAGCAAGCCAGTAAGGGTTCTCCTAATGCCTGCTGTGTGCCTAGGAGGATGGCTGGCTCTGGGAGGGGAGGGGGTCATGGGAGAAGACCCTGCCGTGAGGGAATGACAGCCTAGCCTGTGGACAAAACCAAGAACTGAATTCTGTGTCTCAGAGCTCAGCTGCTCTTGAAGCAAAAAGAAGGGATAGCTCAATGGAGCAGGTGGGGAGGGACAGAGAGGGCTTCCTAGCTGGAGGGGGGTTTGAGACAGAACCTGAAGTGTGGATAACTTTGGATCAGGCTAGCAGGGAAGGGAAACCATGCTCAAAAGGGACCCAGCATGAACAAGGGCATACAAGCCATTGTGAGGATGAATATTTGGGAGTCAACACAGAGAAGGCCTTGAAAGAAGATTCTAAAATAAAGAAGGAGTAAGAAAGAGACATAAAGGAGTCAGCTGGTGAAGAGTTTTGATTGCCAGGCTATGAAGTTTATACCAGATCCGACAGATGATTAATTATAATATTATTATATTTTAGTTATTATTTTATTATAGCTAACATTTTTCTGGTGTTTGCTGACCTAAGCCATATTTACAGACAATATTCTAAGCAATCTACAAGGATTAACTCCTTTATACCCAGGTGAGAGGGTTAGATGAGGTCATGACGGCACCATGTAACTGTTGGGCACTGAGCAATAAGGGGCATTATTGTGATTAATAGCATGATGCTGATAAGAATATTATTAGTGGTGTGGCAGGAAGGTCAAATTGCGGGTATGACAGAGAAGAGAGAGAGAGAAGCAAGTGAAGACTGAAAACGAAAGCAAGCCGAGGGTAGATGGAAGGCCCTGCCAGGTGGGAAGACATGGGTCCCAGGGCTGCTGACCAGGAGTGAGTGTTGCTGGGTGCTTTGAGCCTCTCTGGGTGCCCCTGAGCCCTCCCCTCCACCCTGGAGATCCTGAAGCACTGGTGCCCCTGGGTTATTTACCGTCCAGTTCTAGTTTCTTCCTCTCCACCTCTTTCCTGTACTCCTCCAGCTCCTGGTCAGTGAGTTGGCTGAAGGGGTTGGGCACCGTCTCCTCTGACTCATCTTTGGTATCCCCGTCACCCTTGGACATCAGTTGGCTCTCTGTAGACTGAAAGTTAACCACAGAGTGTGTGTCGCTCCCTGAACGCCGTGGTTGGGGCCCAGGCCCGAGCTTCCTTTCAGACTCATGTGGCTGCCAGTGGTCTTGCTAGGGACAGCATGGCATGCCCCTCCTTGGAAACAGCTCAAGGCCTCAGGTAGGGGTTGTTCATTCCTCCCCGTGACTACCTCACCCCCAGACCCAGATTCTTTGCAACTGCCTGGATGAATGCAGGGGGTCCACCCTCTGCCCCAGAAATAAAATGAAAGGATGCTCCCAAGCAGAAGGAAGACACACCTTTATTGCAATCCGTCCTGTGGACATTTGCAAGCCATCACTATGCAAATACCGTCAGCGGCCCAAAGTCAGTCAGCCAAAACCCAGCAAGCAAAGCATTGGCTCAACCAGCTCCATGCCAGCCATCCCCACCATGCCCCTCCCCATCCCCCAACAGCAGCACAAGCCACAGCACACAGCAGTAAGTCATATGCAAGACACACAGTGGCTTCATGTTCTCAGTCCAGACTGTTAGTCCTGTTTTGCACACAGTCATAGATTACAAGGGAGCCAAGGTCCTGAACCTCAGTTCTTCAACCCGCCTGTACTGCAGGTCCCTGTGGGGACTCTGGCAAAATCACTGTATTTTACCACCTCTGTGGAGCTCCTGGCTCTGGGGAGCTCACAAGCTGGGCCTTGTGTAAGCCTCAGGAATCCTCTGACCCCCCTGGCTCAAGACAGGGACTAAAATTCAGACTCCACAGTCCTTTGAGAATGCAGCGCTCTGAAGCTGAGGAGGAACCAAAGAAAGTGAACCCCAGGCCCGCACCATGCACTCCAGGCCATCTTTCCCTGGCCCGTCAGGTCTTCTGACGATGGGCCCATGGGCTCCTTCCAAAAGAGGGGCAGCACTGGGTCTACCTTAAGGAATCATGGGGTTCAAAAGAGAGTCCAAGGCCAGGATCCCAAGAAAAAGGACTCCAAATGATATAAATTGGTATAAATGATAAGAGTTTTTAACAATTTTGCTCATTGTATTGAACTCTCACCTCTTCCAGTATCATGGGGTATTTCTACCCTTGACCCTGTGGCACATTTGGTGTTCCTCATCTTGGCTAAGTTGAGGTGGGGTGGAGGTAGGTGTGATGACATAACCTTCACATTTTCCCTGCCAATGTGCACCGACCTTGTGGGCTACAGCCTGATCTGAAATCATTACATCACCTCAATTTGCTCTGAAGACAGGAATGGCTCCTGTATTTCTCCCCTTCTTACTGCTAAGGAAGATGCCATGCCCATTGCTGCTTCGCAATGAGCAGCAATGATTTCCAACATAAGCCAGAATTCTGATCTTCACCCCTTTTGCTAAGCACTAGACAAACTGTTCTATCTAAAGCATGGAAACAGCGACTTCATACTTTCTAACTCTATTCGGGTTTACATGGGCAACTAACCGCCCCTTCCCATCCTGTAGGAGCACTAGTCCTTATATACATGCCTCCTCTCTGAGAGCACACGAGCATCTTCCCAAAGCTATGGCCTGATGATGCCATATCCATGCACAGAGGCCAGAAATGCTCAGGACGGGCAGGCCTGGAGCAGCTGGGAGCTGCCCGCCATACTCCTGTGATCCCCACTTTGCAGGATACTAATAGGGGGCAGAGTGGAGTTTCATGGGGAAAAGCACGCAAGTCGGCATCACTCCCCTGGGCAGGCTGGGCTGCAGCTCCCCGGCCCAGCGCCCAGAGCGGATGATTAGACACTGTGCCCGGTCCTCACAGCATCCGTTTTGCAGCAAAAGCACCAGCACCCAAGATCACAGGGGAAGGTGGGCATGAGGACTCAGGGGTCCTGCTGCCCAGTCCCGGGCACTGAAGACCCAGAAGGCAAACATGTTTCCCCTCCAGACAGGGGCAGCTCCTGCTGTACCGGACTTCGGCTCTTCTCAGCAATAACGCTCGCCAGGAGCTGGGACTGAGGCCCTGCTGACTTCACATCTTGTCGATTTTGTTCTCGAATCTGCGTGGAAAGGGAGTGGAAGAGTGAGCTAGCTGTTCAGTGTCAGAGTATGGAGTGTGGGAGGGGGCATGCCCAGGGCATACTGGTGTCCAGTGTGGTCTGTGACCTGGGTATAAAAAGGTCCTCCATGGTGGGGGAGCTTGTCTCCTCTCCTCCTAACACGGTACATCCACTCTGAGACAGTCTCCATGTCTGTTTCAGAGTAAATGAGCAGTTTATGTAAAACATCAGATTCTCATTAATTCTGAGAAGGTAATTAAAAGAGGTGAAGAGTGAAACGAGGCATAGCAGATCCTTAAGGGAGATTCTCAAATTTTAATATTCCTAAAAAGCCCCTGAGGAATTTGTTTAAAATACAGATTCCTGGGGCCACCCCACACCTATTGAATCTGAATCTCTCGGGGGGAGGGATGGACGGTAACCCCAGGAATCTGCATGTTGAACAAGCACTTCAGAGGGTCCTTGGACCACACACTGAAACGCTGCTCTGTGAGCATCTCTGACCTATTGGAGGTGGTTGGCTACAACCTGAGCTTTTAAAGTAACATTATAAACACAGGGAGTAAACTGTAAAGCAAAAAGAGAGAAATAAATGCAAACAATTTTGAAATCTTGAAAATAGGCCCAAAAAATAGCATAAAATTTGTAAAAACTCTGCTTGTGGTCAAGTCTTGTCTAAGGCAGCACCTCTCTATGTAGGAGGGTTATACAGGACTACAGAAGTACGGCGGGAAGTATAGTAACCGGAATATGGCCAATTAATGGTAGTTTCTTTCCCATAAGACGCATCTGGGATGTTGGTAAGTCAAGTGTATCCTGGAGACCCCACCCCCCGGCCCTTGAGGGAGGAGAGACAGAGAGAATTAACTACCCCCTTACCTTGTTCCGCATGTCCAGCACTTCCTGGGGGTCGGTATAGAGAGGCACAAATTGGTTTGGGTTTTCGATCCGGATGGGCATGCCACTGCTGGATTTCTCCACTTCATCAGCCTTCATCCACTGAACACACACAAGGCCAGGCGGGCAAGGCAAAAGAATAAGGCCCATGTGTCCTCCCCAGTGGTCCACCCCATGAGATCTGAGCTGACCAGCCTACATGGAAGGTCAGCAAGCCTCTCCACATCTGTTCTTTCCTCTGAGGCCTCTTTGATGCCTGTCTCCCAGAACGGAGAAGGGCAACAAGTGACCCAGCTGCCAGAGAAGGCCCCAGGTCGAGAGCCATAAAGAGCACTTCAGAGTAGAGGTCAGAACCTTGGTAACCAGCTTTGACAGACACGCAGCCACTTGAGCTTCAGTATTAGATGGCTCGTTGATGTGAATTTTCAGGGCTTCATTATTTTGTTTTAAGAAGAGCTAGTCTATTTGGCTGCCAGCTACTTTAATGTTAATGAAAAAATAAGAGTCAGGGTTTGTGTGTGAGAGAGAGACGGGTGGAGAGGACAACTTAACAGAAGCGAATATCCCATCCGCCTCCTGGGTTTGCATCAGACGTGCAGTTCCAATGTAGGATGCCCATCCCTTGAACTTCCCAGACGGCCACTCTGGATGTGCGAGCAAGAAGCAGAAATCAATTGCTCCTGCCTTTCATGCTGGTGGGAGTGACCTGGTCCAGCCACCCTCTGGACCCCAAAACTCAGCACAGAGGTGCAAGAAACAGGCGATCAGAAGCTCCATTGGCATAAGCAGCTGATCCCAGACACCCAATAGGAAGCCGTAAGGGGAAACTGCATGAATGCAGGCCCAGGGGAGGTTTGTTCTGTTCCCCTTGTGAAGTGCTTAACCCAAGAATATAGCCGGGCACCCTCCCTCCCCTCTGCCCTCCTTACTGTGGTCTTGGGCCGGGGGGTGCCCATGCTCCTCTGGACCTCGTCAGCCACGTTGACCCGCAGGTAGGTGTTGGGCGTGTTGAGCCAGCGGGTCTTCTCCTTTTGCTGCTTCTGGGCGTGCTGCCGCAGGGCGGGCACCGGGGCACCGTCCTCCTCAAACACGAAGGCGGTCACCGTGGCTGGAATCTCCACCTCACTTTTGTGTTTGGTTTTCTCTTGAACAAAGGGGTAGCGGTACGTGTAGCCTGTTCTGTAACCCTAAAAAGGACAAAAATAGAACTTCTTGTGGGAAAAACCTGCACCTGCATGCACAGCCACACACGCAGGTTGCCCCTTCCATCTGTAGGATTCAGTTTAAACCTAAATCTCCGTAACATAACCTGGGCCTTGCCGCCCTTCTGGCCTATTTCAAAATGTTCCCTGTCTTGGTCCCCCAACCCCCACCTTCCTCCACCCCAACAATCCCTCGGATCAGGGCTAAGACAACCCTAGAACCTTGTGGACCAGACAGAGCTCCTTCCCAAACAGGGTTCCAACTTCCCATCTGGTCCAGTGGTTCTCAACCCTGGCTGCACACTGGAATCACCTGGGAGCTTTAACAATGCTGACGCCTGGGCCCACCTCAGAGTTCAGAGTTGCCCACTTCAGTGGACGGTGGTGCAGCCTGGGCTACAGGAGTTTTCAAAGCTTCCCAGCTGACTTTAACAGTTAGCACCCCCTTCCTCAACGCGGAAGCTTCTTCACTACTTCCCTCTTGGATCCCCGAAATCTGACTCGAGGACATCCCTGTCTCCTTAGCAAGACCATGTCCCACAAAGGCAGAAGTGACTGCTGCTCAGTGGGAATCAACACTCAGGAATCCCGTCGGCTGTCAAAGCAATTCTTGGCGCTGCTCGTCTTCTGCGTTTTTTAAATTAGAGTGGCATTAAGATATTTTTTTGATTATAAAGAAAGTACTGACCCATATAGAAAAATTAAGCAATATAGAATACATAAGGAAAAAAGTGGGTTTTATGCAAAATCTCATCCCCAGAGACAAACACTAAAAACCTTTTCAGTAATCTTCTAAGCATACATATATGTATGTAAATATATATATAACATATAATTATATGTAATATGTAATTATATATTATATAAAACAGTAAATAAATGGAACCATACTACATAAACAGCTTTTTTAAAAAACTGAGATATAATTGATGTATACCTTTATATCAATTTCAGGTGTACAATAAAATGATTTGATATTTGTGTAGATTGCAAAATGATTACCACAATGAATCTAGTTAACATCCATCACCACACATAGCTACAAAATTTTTTTTCTTGCGATAAGCACTTTTAAGATTTCTCTTAGCAGCTTTCAAGTATACAGCACAGTATTATTAACTATAGTCACTATGTTGCACGTTACATCCCCCGACATTTATTTTATAACTGGAAGTTTGTACCTTTTGACCCCCTTCACCCATTTCTCCCACCCCCCACCCCCTTGCCAAACACCAATCTGTTCTCTGTATCTGAGTTTAGGTTTGGGGGATTTTTTTCTTTGTTTTGTGTTTTTAGATTCCACGTGTAAGTGACATCATATGGTATTTGTCTTTCTCTGTCTGATTTATTTCACTTAGTGTAATGCCCTCAAGGTCCACTCACATTGGTGCGAATGGCAAGATTTCCTTCTTTTTGTGGCTAATATGCCATTGTATATAGATACCACATTTTCTTTATCCATTCACTCATCATTCATCAGTGGACACTTAGGTTGCTTTCACATCTTGTAAATAATGCTACATAAGCAGCTTTATAAGTGCTTTATTAAAGTGGTTAGAGATTTTTTTCACAATATTAAACCCATAAACACACAGCAACCTTTAAACTTCTGCATAATATGTCAATGAATGGACATATTTTAGTTTATATAACCTAAACTGATCGACACTTGGTCATTTTCAAAATATTATAAACAATCCTGAAATGAATAGCTTTACACATTTTTCTTTAGGCAATTAAGGGATTTTTCTCCTTGACGTAAATTCCTAGAATGAAAATTACTGGGTCAAATGGTACACATTTTTATAAGTTTTTATATATTTACTATATTCATCTTCCCAATATGTTGAGCCAACTTTACACTCCTGCCAATTATGCTTCAGTTTCCAATTCTCATCTCCCTTCCCCCACACTGAATATTGTTAAGGTTTTAAAAAAATCTTCGGCAATCAGATGAGTTAAAAGTATAATCCTTTAATTTTAATTAATATTTTTGATGCTCTTGTGTTGGGGAAGACATTGCTCTATTTTGGATCACCAGTAAAACTGGATATTTTTAATTACATTTAATGGCCACTTGAATCTCTTCCTTTGTAACTTGTTTGTGTTCTTGGTTCATTTTCTATCGTGACGTTTCTCTTTGGCACATTGATTTGTAATATCTCTTTTTACACGAAGGATATTAATCTTTTGACTGTCATAGATGCTGCACACACTTCCCCCATCGTTTGTCTTTTAGCTTTGTTTGTGGTGGGGGGGGGGATGGTTTATAAAAATGCTCATTTAGAATTTAAATGTAATCATATCTGTCAATATTTGTCATCATGATTTCACACTTTCCTGCCATGCTTGACAAGGTCTTTGCAACACAAGAGCATCAAAAATATTAATCTATGTGTTTTAATGCCTGCATGAGTTTACTTTTTACGTTTAAATTTTTGATAGATTAGGAATCTTGTTGAAAGGAGTGAGGTAGCAACCCACCTTACTTTTATTTCCCAAATGGCTATCGTTTATCTTTTCCCACTGCTTTATAAGCTGCCTGCTTGTCCTGGGTTAAAGTCTCATATATTTGGGATCTATTTCCGAGTCTTCTGAGCTGTCACATTGACTTGCCTGTCCACTCTGCACTAATGCTCCTCCCTTCAGTCACTAGGGCTTTATCACGCTTCCCCAAGCCATGGGATAAGTATCCTTAATTAATTCTCTTGTTACAGGATTTTCCCAGCCATTCTGCATTTCACCTGGAAGAATATTTTGCTAAGTCCTTAGGCCTTCCCCCACTTTTGAGAGAATCACATTGAATTTATCGACTAATTTTGGGAAAGTGACCTCTTTACAGTTTTCATGCAGCATTTTTCTTATCAACTCAAAGTAAGATTGGTTTGATTGTGTCATAATTGTTATGGTTTGCTGTCCTTTCATTCTGCTCTGAAACAGTTTAAACAGCCTAAGAATTGCTGGTTTCTTAAAGATTTGAAAGAATTCCCACAAGAAACCATCAGGTCCTGGTGCTTTATTTACACATAGATTACTCAGCACACAAACATTAATGGAAGTTGTATTTCCATTGTGGATAGCACCTCTCATCATTATAAAGTGACCCTCATGGTCAGCCTAGTAATAAAGTGGAGATGATCTTGAAGAACTGGAGGCAAGGAGAAAACGACTGATTATTTCAGAGAACTAGACACAGTAAAGAGGGTCCAAGGTTGTAGCAGTAAGGCGGGGGAAGATGAATCAGATACAGAAATGTTACAGATAGGTTTCATCTTTCACTTCTCTGAGCAATCTAAGTTAGAGTCTCTTCCCAATTAGCTCCTTATTGCACATGTTTTCCTCTTTTTCTTGAATTGTCTCCTATTTATGTCTCACATCAACCAAATTGTTAACCCCTAGAAAAAGGAAGAATGTCTTAAAATTCTTTTGTTTCCTTTAAAGGACCAGCCCATTCCTAGACACATACCAGTTAACTCCTTACATGATTGATTCATTGGATCATTATAGTAGGATATTCCTTATTCCTTATTCCTGCTCCCCAGGAATAAGGAAATTAGTGGTATTATGTGTTTTCTGCATTAAAGTCATGAGATTAGAAAGAAAGGCAGAACTAACTACTAAAGAGGAGTGAACTGAGCCACAATATAAGAAAGGCTCTGTGGTTCTGATTTTTACTGGACTACACTTCTTCTGCCAACATCTTCTTACCCCTTCTCCAAAGAGCACCCTGCACGAGTGATGACATCCGCAGCCCTTCAAAGGCGGTGACAAAGGCTACTGCCTAAGAAAACTCAACTGCTATTAGAATGACCACAAATTCTAAGTCAAGTTGCCAATCAACGAGGCTTTAACAACTTAACTGTGATGTGGGCAGTTCTCATGCCCACTTAACGCCTCGTACTGACTGGCGCTGGGGGCTAAGCCTCAATGGTTTGGTCTGGAAGGGCAATGGCAGGAGACTCACCAGGTTGTCCAGCATCCTCATGAGGGCCTCAAACTCATGCTCCCCGAGCCGGCTCTTCTGCATGGGTCCGAAGGTGCTCCCCGCCCATTGCACAGAGCCCACCTCATGGGGTCGGTGCTTCTCCTGCTCCAGGAGGATGAGATTCTCCACTCCCCCGGCGCTGGACAGAGCAGACACCTGCAGCAAAGAGTAGAAAGGCCTCAGCTTGTGTGTGTGGGTGTGTACACTCACATACCTGTGCACTGACCTATGCTCGTGTGTGTAATAGCGAGTGGGGATCAAAGAAGATTAGAAACAGAGATGTCTGGAAAACTGAGCCGTATTTGGCTTTTTCTCCCAGAGGAAAAGCCACACCAAACTTGTTGGGCATCCAGGGAAAGAGACAGTAGTAGTTTCTTTCTTTTTGTTTTCTTTTAAAGATTGGCACCTGAACTACCAACTGTTGCCAATTTTCCTTTTTTCTTCTTCTCCTCCCCAAAGCCCCCCAGTACACAGTTGTATATCCTAGCTGTGAGTGCCTCTGGTTGTGCTATGTGGGACGCCGCCTGAGCGTGGCCTGATGAGCAGTGCCATGTCTGCGTCCAGGATCCGAACTGGAGAAACCCTGTGTGTGTGTACACACACGTACCTGTGCACTGATCTATGCTCGTGTGTGTAACAGAGAGTGGGGATCAGAGAAGATTAGAAACAGAAATGTCTGGGAAACTGAGCCGTATTTGTGAATCGCCGAAGCGGAGAGCGTGAACTTAGCCACTCAGCCACAGGGCCGGCTCCAGTAGTTTCTTTCTTAATGTCAGTTCTTAGAGACCATACAGAAGGAGGAAAAAGCAAGTGTTAAATCCTAAGAATAAAACAGTATAGAGGACTGGAAGGTTACCTGGGATACAGACCAACTTCGAACCGTGAATATTTCTGGGGAGGGTGGGAGGATGAGATAGCAAAGGGCTCCAGAGGGGCCTTCAATGTTTGCCTGTAATATTTTATTTCTTTAAGAGGAAAAGATCTGAAGCAAAAAGACTGTTAATATTTGTTAAATCTGAGTGTGGGTGGCAGGTGTATATTATATTATTCTCTGAATTTTTCTGTGTTTGAAATATCTTCCATTTAAAAAAAAAGTCACTTGAAAGAAGTAGCCTGGCTTCCAGACCAATGAAATATGAGTGTGGCAGCTCTAAAGGAAGAAGGCATCGTCCACGACAGGGTCAGTGAGTCGAGGAATGCAGAGAGGAGACAGATGACATCTGAGGGCGCACAGTGGGCACTATGTAGGGGTTGGGCAGCTGTCACCAATGACTTAGAGTGCTTGTCCCACTGTCAAGGCTCCACGGGGAGGGGACGATACAGGTTGCAGACAACAAACTTTGAGTATTACAGCAAGAGGTGTGTGTACACAGCAGGCAATTTTAGAATGATCCTGAAAAACATTCCTTAATCTAACTGATCTCCCTATTTTCTAACTGCATGGTCATCTAATGTGCATTCTATTTACTCCCCATATCTGCCACTCAGATGCAGTTGGTTATCATTTGGCTTCCTGGGCAAGTCCAGCTACAGAGAGGGATGGTGGTTTCCATGCATTCTAGGTCGTGAGCCAGGGGTTTTGTGCTACACATCAATATGCCAGCATTCTGATTAATATCTGATATCCCTGTAAGCCTGCTTGTTGTGGGGAATTGCTCCAATTATATAAACTTTCAGTGTTCCAGTTTTTGTGACAGTTTTTTTTTTTTTACTGAAAATGAAAGGATGCACTTTAGCTTGCTGACAAACACAAGTCTATGAGCCCCTGAGGGTCCAGGACACATCCTAGGGTGTGTTAAATTCACCGTGCAACAAATGGCCCCTGTGAGACTTCCTGGAGGGCAGCCAAGCCACCTTCCCACGGTGACCACCATCACCCGTGAGGAGAAGGAAGCAAAAACACTCATTTTCCATGCCCTCTTCATCTGAAACATGTATCCAATCGACGGCTCCATTTTTATCTTAAAAGGATGACTCCATGCCCTGGCAAAGACAGGGACCTTAGAGGTCATTTATCCATCTTCCCACCAGAAGTAAGAGTCCTTGTCTAACATCCCTAGAAGGTGGTCAGCCCCGTGCTTGGGGAGGCAGCCTTTGTACTGCTGTCCAGGTGTTAGGAGGGTTACAGCGAGCTGATGTAGATTACCCTGAGTTGAAATCTACCTTTTTATTACGTCCGTTCTCTGGTCCCAGTTCTGCTCTCTGCTGCCATGTTTCCTAATTCTGAAGCCCCTCACACCCAGCACCGAGGCTGACAGTGTGGGAACATATTTGCAAAGGTAGCGAATCCCAGATGGCAGATCAATTGCCGAGCTCATCCTGGACCTTCAACTGGCCCCGGGACCCTGAATCCCTGATTCAAAGTGCCAGCTCCCTGAGGAAAGGTCCTAGCCTGTCAGCTGACCTTTCCCAATGACCCTTATTGCCCTGAGAGGCAGTGCAATGTAGTGTTAACGACATGGACTCGGACACCAGACTGCCTGGGTTTGAATCCTGGCTCTGCCACTTACTCACTGTGTGACTTTGGGCAGCTATTTACCCTCTCTGTGCCTCAGTTTTCTCATCTATAAAATGAAAATAGTAGTATCTACCTCATGAGGATTATTTAAGGAAATATTTGTAGAGCACTTAGAATGGCACCTGGTGCATAGGGAGTGCCATGTACATGTTGACAACAAATTAATTCTGAGGTTTTACCATGGAAGGCTGAGAAGCAATATCCCCAAGGGACTGGTCTTTCATGGCGAAGGAGAGAACTGCCCTCACCCTTGCCAGAGCTGCCCCCTCCCACTTCCTTCGTCCCCCACCGGTTTCCAGGGCGATGGGTACCAGATGGAGAAGAGCTGCCTGAGCTTCTTCCTCTCTGCTAAGCAGAGCAGGGAGCTGCCTTGTCAGCTGGGGATGACCCAGTTTCCTGGAACCCCAAACTGATGGGGAGCAAAGAGAACACTGTCCCCAGGAGAAGAGAATAGGCTCTTAGCCTTGAAACACTGGAAAGACCACAGCCATGTTTGCTCGTTTGCCAAGGTCATCGAGGGAGAAAACTAGGCCTGTGATGGAAACAAACTTCGGTGCTGGCCATTCGACCAGAAATGACCCAGCCAGGGCTGCAGTCCCAACAGCTTCTTCAGACTGCAGGAACCTGGGGTCTTCCACGCCTTAAACCTCCCACACCTCTGCTCTAATCCTGCCTATTTTTCTTCCACAGCTTCCAGCTTCATTTCTCCCTCTAGAACCCTCCCTGCTCCACCAGCTGAAAAAATGCCACTGGAGCTTTCCTGCGGGTTATCTGCCTCCACTGCCTGATGCAATTTAACAGGGTCACATCAGAAGAGCCCTCACCGAAGAGAAAGTGACAGCAAGCAGGGCCAAGAGAAGCAGCTGGAGGGCCATCAGGGCCAGTGGCTGGCAGCTCTGCCCTTTCGTCTCCCCAGTGGCTAGACAACCATCCCGCCTTTGGTTAAATTGCACAGCGGCCATCTCTGAGGGTCTGGAGCTTGGGAGAGCTGTACTTCACCGTGTGGGGCAGACATGGGCATCTCTCTCCATTCATTCCTAGGGCTGTGCTGTCTTTGCAAAGAGATAAGAGCTATTTTTTCACGGAGGCCTCTTCTTCAGAAGCAAGATGGGGAACTCTTAAGAACTCAGGCGTCGGGAAGGGAAAGTGGGCATATGAGCAGCTCTGCCAGGATCTAACATCAGTCAGGGGTCAGTGCTCAGGGCCAGCACCACTGGTTGGGGGCAAGGAGGCCACCACATCAGAAAGGCACCGCTTTGGTCCTCTTCTACCTTCTCCGCGTTCTCCTCTTCTGACCGCTGCTGATTTTTTTTGGTGGGGGGAGTCTCACACCACTTCCTCTAACACCTCTTCATCACTGTCTTAGCAACTGTCCTCTCAACATATTCCTTAAAAACCGTTGAGAAAGGTCCCACTTGTAGAGCCTCCACTAGCGATGCTTCTGGAATCATCCTATTCTTCGCCCAAGAGGAAGGCAGGCCTTCGTGCTGGGGGTGCTGCTCTGCCCAGACCAGCCAGGAGAGGGCAGACGGGACCCAAAGGGGTCCCTCTAAGAGCTGACTCATCCTGGAGCCGCTAGCCTCCCCTTCTGTCAATTGAGTCCTAAAAATATCATCAGCAACACCTCTCCTTGTCTGAAAGGCCCTGCCCTCGCAAGTACTCTGCAGGCCCCACGTCTGCAGTTGAGGAAACGGAGGCTCGCAGAGAGCAAGTCCCAGAGCCGAGGGCACACAGCCCAGAGCTGGGGACCCCTACTCACCTCTGACCGCCTGCGACGCTGAAAGGAGCAAAAGAAGCATGTGCCTGGCATATCCAACACCACCTTGTTATCTGGTAAAGCTATAGGTTTTGTGTTTTCCTATAGTTTCCCCACCAGCTCCTCTAGGGGTCCCATGACCACTGACACTTCCCCCCCACCACCCTATCCCTTAGTTAGGAGAACATCATGGTGGGCACCCTGGACATCACCTTGGGGTTTCCCTGGTGTTCAAGCCTGCCATGCTGACACCCCACCTTGGCCTGCTTTTCACTCCTCTTTCTGGACTTGACCATGTTCACAGTCTTTGCAAACCACCCCCTCCAAAGAGAAAGAGACAAGAAGACCTACCTGTGTGGTGTCTCCTGGACATAGCCAGATGTAACAGGCATACCTCAGGCAATACATGAGCACGGTAAGAACTTTCATATGCCCTATTATGGGTTCTCCTGCTGTCCAATTGATGAACCCAGGCAGCTCCCCGTCCTGGGCACTGACCCCCAAGAGTTAGGTGTTGGTTGTTAGACAAAGGTGATATATTTTTTAAAGCCACAAAACGGATTCTAAGTGTGAAACTTTAGAATGATAAGGTGGCGCCAAAGCAGAGAAATAGGACAAGGCTTTTAGACGGCTAGGCTCACAGGACTCCCTAAATCACAGCCAATGGAGCCATGGCCTTTGCCCACAGGCCCCTGTCAGAGCCACTCCCCAGAGGACCTTGCTTACCTGTATCTCACATGCGGCCTGCAGGTGGAAGATCTTATAAAACGCCTCCTCCACGGTGTCCCCTAGAGCAACCACTCCATGGTTTCTTAGCACCAGGATCTGCAGAGGAGCAAATGTCCAATTAAACTGTCAGCCTTTTAAAATTGAACTAAGAGGGAGAGATTTTTCATTTTATTCAGATCAATTTCCATATCCAATCCCGGAGTCCTCCCCCCAAACTCCTTGCTCATTTCCCTACACAAACACCCCAAGGCTACCCTACATGTGTCTTTAACCCTAAGGAAGAGAAGATGCTTTTTAAAATCAGACTCAATAGCTTGGTGAGTTTCTTTGGGCAATGCCTGGATTTTCAGGCCTTGGAGAGCTTAGAAATCTGGAAAACCAGTGTTTGTGTTAAAGTGAATGAAATTACTTGATGTCCAATATGAGAGTCCAGCCTCACAAGCAACCTCTTGCCCTGTGACTTAGTCACCTTGGGAGTCAAAACCAAAGAGGGGGGCTCTCTGAGGGATGGCTCTGCAGAAGCAAGGGAGTCACGTCACCTCTCTGGACCCCAGGTTTCTTCTGCACGAACTCCGTGAGGCCCTGGCAGTTCAGAGATCCTACAGTTCTATGAAAGAGGCTGTCGTGACCTTCTAATCAAACTCACTGGTTTTACAGAGGAGAAAATAGAAGCCTAAAGGAATTGAAAGTCTCCCAGCTAATTAGGGGCAGAATCAGAACTGGAACCCAGCTGTTCTCCCTGTTGGTGCTATGTTTCTGACTCAGCCAGGTGCACGTAGAAAGGAGGGAAAGAAACAGAAATGAATTTATACCAAGAGCCTAACTCTCCAAGACCCAGGTGCCAGAAACTCCTCTTGGTTGGTTTTATCCTCAAGAACTCTCTGAAACCAGAAGATGCCCACCTGGGAGCTGGGACACAGATCCATGTGTCAGATGTGTCCTTGCATACCTGGGCTGAGGCCTGGTGGCCTAATCATCACATCTTCTCTTGCTGAAAACAGCTGGAGTTTTTTCCTCTCAAGTGCCAGAGAAGTGGAAAGAGACCCTGGCCCACAAATGATTTTGCAGATAACAAATGCCTCATCTCTCAAACGCTCGTAGCATTTCATAGATGTGAGCATCGCATCCCTCTCCAGGCACTGCTAACGAGGCTTTAGAGAATGTCAGGAGACAGTGGCAGGGACTGCTCCTCTGTGTCAGAGATGGGGAGACACAGACTCTCAGATGGGAAATGACTCAGGCGGTGACTGCCTTTCGAGGACAGGAGCAAGCATCCATCAACCCAGGCTTGGCTCGGAAACTTCCCACACTAAGCTCACCACCCGTGATTACATGCTGTTATAAAACAGACTTTAGGCTTCAACCAAATGATGATGAGATTGCATTCTTTTTCTTTCAGGTTAGCAAAAAAAAGTGATAACACTCAAGCTTGGAGAGATCGCAGGGAAACAGCATTCTCATATACTAGATGTTGTTGGGGAGGAAAGGGCAACTTGGCAATATGAAGTAAGAGTTTTAAAATGTGCACCCCTAGATATTTATCCTAAGGAAATCATCTCGAGCATACACAAAGATTTACATGAAAGGATTTTCATCACAGTGTTGTTTACATCAAGAGAAAATGTCGGGGGGGGGGGAGGACCTTCCAATGTCTAACTATAGTGGAATGTTCAGGTAAATGGTGGCACAGCCATTCATACAACGAGGCATAACTTAAAATAGCAACGTAGAAAATAGTTAATAACATACAAAGGTCTTTACTGTATATTGCTAAGGGAAAAAAGGAGAATATATTTTATGATCCTAGTTTTGTAAATATATGTGAATATATTTGGAGTGTGCACCAAAACCTCAGGGTAGTGTGGCAGAGAGAATTTTACTTCATTTATTTATGTGCAACCTCTAAACATTGTCCAGTGAACCTGTGTCACTCATGATGTTGGCAGTCCCACCCCGAAGCATCTTCCCAGAACAGCTGAGCCAAACCTTGCAGGTGGGTCCAAGGCACTTCTGCAGGTTGATCCGATCCGCTTCCTGCTCCATTTCGCCATTGAAGTCATAATAGGCCATGTCCCCCACCAGCAGGGCGTTGTGGGAGACAGGCAGGAGGCCCCACTTCATGGCTGACACCTTTAGTGAGATGACAGAATGGTTAGCACCTGCAGCTGCTGCAGCCCCTGTGTCACATTTGCCCTTTCCTCCGAGTGGCACAGTTAAGTTCTGCTCTGGGGACTGGTGTGGGGAGGGAACAGCACATGAGAAAGGCTCTCCCCTTTGACTCTCTCCGCCTGGTTGGGGTCTTGCTTCCTTTCTGCTCTTCCACTGTCTTTCCATCACAGTTTTCACAGCAGCCATGTCAGTATATCACCTTTGAAAGCTGCTGCAAAGAATGTCCTCGAGAGAGCGAGTGCTGCTGCCCGCTCCCCACTTCGCTCTCGTCCTAGGACTCTGGGAAGAGGCAGGGCTGGTGCAATGGGCACCAGGCTGGAGTGCAGCAGAGCCCAGGGTCTCCTGGGGTGGGCTGGTGGAGACCCTTAGCCTTGAGGTCAGTGCAGAAACAGCCACAACTCCTCACTAACAGGGAGCCCATTGAGAAGCCCCATTTTACCAGGAACGGGGCACTACAAGTGCCAGGGAACGGGGTTAAAACCTGTTGTAAGCACCATACCCCGTGCCCTGCCTTTTATTAAAAGCAAGGAGTGTGGAGAGGTTGAGGAGAGCTTCTTGCCCTCCTTCACTCATTTTGCCCCACACCTAAGTCCGGGCTCTGCGGAGATGGACACTCGACATGAATACATCATTCGGTCTTGGTCCAAATTCTGGAAGGTCTGAGCGCTGGTAACCGGCGTGCTTCACTGAGAGCCACAGGCCAGTGACAAGTCTGCTTTGCCCCAGTGGGTGTGTGGCCTGGGGGTCAGTAAGATGGGGTGAAGGTTGAGAAAACACCCAGAACTGGCTGTCTGCTGTCTTTCCAAGTGATGTTGCAGCGTCTCAGGGGCACACGGAAAAATTACCAGAGACGCTTGGGGGACAACCTGCTCCTGGAGAGTCTTCCTCCTACTCTCTCCCAGTTTTCCTTGCTCTTGTCACCACCTCTCAGCTCACCCTGGGCTACGAAAAGTGAGCAAGTCCAGGTTCCCACCATCTTATCTTCTATCAAGATCTCTCCTTACCAGAGCCTGGCTGTGGGGAGCGGGTGCCAGCCCTGGGCCCAACAGGACTGACCTGAGTAGAAACTCAGGAGGCACCGTCACCTGACTAAGCGGTGGCAGTCATGTATGTGGCAGGGCGGAGGACGCAGCGGGGTAGACATTACGCATCTTTACCTTATCTCTCCAAACCAAGACTTCCGTAGCTAGAAAAATGGAGAGGATGAGAGTGCCCACGTTAGGCATTCTTTCTCCTTACCTCGGCCTGAGTTCCAGGAAATTTTTCCAGAACTATTGTAAATGATGAGATTGCTACCAGCTTTGGGGGCTTATGTCTTTCCTCGGGGAGAATCTCGGAGAAACGGTACCATGGGCCTGCTGCCGGCCTCAGGGAGTGAAACGCTGGCTGAGGAGCTGGCACTCACCGCTGCTGTGGCTGGCGTGTGCAGATGGATAATGCAGCGCACGTCAGGTCTGGCTGCGTAGATGGCCGAGTGCAGACAGAAGCCCGTGGTGTCCACCGGGAAGCAGCTGCTGCCCTTCTCCACCACCTCTCCTAGGATGTTCACCTTGATCTGGTCCAGGGAAGAAGAAGAGACTTATGGCCGCAAGGCAGGCAGAGGCCCTCACTCCTCTCCCCGCGGGTGGACCAGTGCACGCCTACCCACCCACGTTCACTCACTCCACCACACCATGAGCTATGTCTGTGCTTGGCGGTGGGGGGAAAAGACCTGGTTCCTGCCCTCAGTCAGCGCCCAGTCTAACGGGGGACACAGGCCATTATAATTCAGCATGAAAAATGCTAGAGCAGTTTCTCAAACTTTACTCTGCCTAAGAATCACCTGGAGAGCCTGTCAAAAGGCAGATTCTGACTCAGCAGGTCAGGGGTGGGGCCTAGGAGTCTGCACTTCTAACAAGTTCCCAAGTGATACCTATGCTGCTGGTCCACAGAACACACTCTGAGTAGCAAGGTGCTAGAAGAGAGTCATTCACAGAATTCTCTAGAATGGGATAGGAAGAGTCTTCAATCCCATAAAACAGGGATCAGAGAAGCCCTCCTAGGGGAAGTAACGCCTAAACAGGGCCTTTTTCTTTTGTTTTTACTCTTTATTTTGAAAATTCTCTTTCATCATATACAAAGGTAAAGAGAATAGTATAATGAACACATGTACCAATCATCCAGAGGCTAGGTCCTAAAGGACAAGTGGAAAGTAGTCACTGCTCCTATAATCTGCTTTTGACTTCAGGTGGCTAGTAGGTGTCATGGCTAAAAATCACCCACTCGTGGGTGAGCGTGTGCACGCTTGTGTGTATGCACATAGTTGCTGGCGGCTGTGGCTGGCCTGGCATACAGTTAGGCCGTGGTGTCCCCTGCTCAACATAAGCAATCTCACAGAACGTCATCACCAGAGAAGGTCACTTTTGACTGTGACACAGCAAGACAAATAAACCACTCCTTAATCATGTCTAAGCACAGACAAAGCAACACTGTGCAAGCCCCAAAATGCCCAGCACCCCCTCTCCTGGCTAACAGGAGACACGGGTGCTGCTTCACCAACGGCAGCTTCAGCCCCTTGCTCCATTCCCTGCCTGCCTCATAGAACTTCCTTCTGACAGCGCACCATCCAAGGTGACACCTCCATCCTAGGACCCTCCTCCAATCCCAAAACAAGCCCCTCCTAACACCCTCTTACTGAATAGCCCTCTGGTCTCCCGGGGCCAGCTCCCTGCAGCTGGCAGTTAGCCAACTTATTGACTACACATGTTCCTGGGCATGAACAAGCTGGATTTTAGTTCCTAAAAATCAGAATAGCTTTGGCCCTTCAAACTGCAGCACCACAACATCCTGAATGCAGCACAAGGGGCAGCTCCACAGACCACCCCCCTCCCCCACCCCGGAAAGCCCAGGCAGACAAGATGATACCAAAGGACGGAGACAAACTGCTGTGGGGAAGGGACATGCTACTGATATCATTTGCTTAGGCAGAAGCTTCAGTAAGATGTTCGACAAATCCCCTCTTACAAAAGTCTATTTTAAGTGAATTTTACAGAATGAACACGACTTCACGGTGGCTGATCCCTAGAAGTGGCTGCAACTCCCCTGCCTCGGGTCTTAAACCTGAGAATGTCCAACGCTGACCCCTGGTTTCCCTTCAGCCAGCTCCCCCACCTCCTCAGATGTGTGGCCTACTCAGACTTCTGTCTCTGGGATGGTCTCTCGGATCTCAAAGATTCCTTATCTCGGCCTCGGATGTGTGGTCTGTTGTCACTCAATCGATCACAGCCTAGCAGGGCAGCCACTATCCCATCCAGTGCCTTTATACATGTGAGGAGACAGCTACCCGCTCTTGAGGACAGCCCCAGGGGCACGGGGCTTGGTGTGTGGACACTGCCATTGTGCAAATGCAAAACACAAGCCCCGGGACAGGACATGTTTAGTGAGCAGAGCACAGGTCTGATTTTACCCTCTCCTCTCTCCGTCACCAGCCGGGCTCCCTCTGCAGTGTACAAGCTGCACAACCAAACACAACAACCCTAACTCTACACCCACCCCACGAACATCCCATGACTCCCAAACCTGTAGCTCTAGGCTAGATCTCTTCCAAACCTAGGATAACCAAATGCCAACTGACTTCTCTCTAGAACGTCCCACCAGCTCCTCAAACTCAGTCCCACACTCCCAGACCAACGGATCACCAGGCCCACTAAGCCTGCTGCCCAGAACTTCCTTCCCGGCTTACTGTCTTAGCCCCAACCAGCCGGCCCAAAGTCAGTCTGCCCCACACTGCTGTCAGAGTACAGTTTCTACGACGGAAACCTCATTGCATCACTCATCTGCCTTGCAATGCTTGAGGCTCTGCGTGTCCAGCAGAATGAAGCCAAAGGGCTCTAACAAGGCCTTCAGTGCCATTTATCATCTGGTCCCTGTCCCCCTCCCAGCCTCTCATCCAGAGACTGAATACAGGAGCCAGACTCAGCCACTCACCTGTCCTCCCCAGTGCACCGGGATCTGGCCTGCAGCTGGGCTTGGCATGCGCCGTGTTCCTGCTGAGGACACAGTCGCCTCTGCCCAGCCTCTCCCTGCTGCCCTGGTCTAAGTCTGCTTATCCTGTGCGCTCCTGAGGACTCACTCCTTCACCACCGTTTCCACCTAGAAGCTCCTCCTTTGCCCCCTCCACTTCCTTCAATACCCTGACTGCCCCTTCTCTAGGCTCCTCAAGCTTCCTTTGTCTCTATCAGAACACTCTTCACTCTGAGCTCAATCACTGATTACCTCGCCTCTCTCCCTCACCCGACCATGAATGCCTTAAAGACAGAGCCTATGCCGTCCCTGTGTCTGTGGTCCCAGTCTGGCTTGGCCATGACCTCCTTGGGTGGCCCCGTGTGAGTCATTTACCCTCCCTGGGACCAGTGTTCTCTCCTGCCTGTAAAGTGGCCTTGGCAGTCCTCAAAGTCCTGCCACACCCAGATACTCTGTGACTCTGTCAGCCTGCTCTTTTAACTGAGTCCCTGGACTCAACATATGAGCATGTCTCAAGGCTGGCAGAGGCCCCGAGGTGGTGTCCTCCTCTCCCAGGCACATGGCACAGCAGCCGCAGCCCACTCACCTAAACTGCTCCTAAGACAGTCCCCTCTACTGCTTTCCTCCTCCCACACAGAAATCTTTCCTGATCAAAACCAGCTTCTGAAAGTTTCTTCCTACCACAGCTAAAAGGAGGAGGAGAACTGAAAGTGGTCCCAGACCCCTGGATAACACGGGCACTAGACGAGTCTTGCGTTGCTTGAGATGAAGCATTGGCTTTCATTCTAATGTATTCCCCAATCGGGAAGGCCTCCCACTCCCAGCCTTTGTGGTCCAATCCCAGGCTCAGGACTCCAGGCCCCTCCCTCTCCGCTCCCTCCTACTGCGCTTGCTGCCTGCATATTGCGTTTGGTCTCTTGGCCACATCATGCTCTGGGCACTCAGTTTGTTTTTGTGTCATTGTGTCTTCTCTGCCCCACCAGATCACAATCTCCACAAGGTACAGGACGGCAGTGACTAATCTGGAGATGACCTATCACTGTAGGAGCAGAGGAAGTGCTGTCATTTCAATAAGGAATGGGCAATGAGATGCTGGACTATACTCACCAGACTGGATGCTGTGACTTCACTGCAAGAAACTCCCTTAGGGCTAATCAGGAAGTGGTCCTGCTCCTTGCTGACTCTCAGCTGGAGGAAAGACACGTTCTCAGTGGCAAGGAGGGAGAGGGGTCATTTCCAAGGAGACTCTGCTTGAGTCCCCTCTTCCTCTGAATCCACTACACCCAAATCTTCCTCCTAAAAACACTTATCTCCACCCCACTGCCCAACCCATGAGAGATGAAGACGACTCGGCCTTTGTTTGGAGCTGGGAAATGGAGCTACAAGATGAATCTCCCAGTGGTCAAGGGTAGCCCTGGAAGTAGGATCCAAGAGTACCCAGCTCTTCATCCAGAGAAATGTCCACTGAGCAGGTTATCTATTTCAGGTGACCATGGTGGTTGGAAACCTTGGAAGGGCTCATTCCCTGCATTTTGGCCAAAGGCCACCAGCAGTACCATGGCCATGCCAAGGGCCAGGAGTTCCCCCTTTGAATTTTGTGGGGTCCACAAACACAGTACTCCACCCCACTCCAAGATGCTGTCCTCACCGTGACGTAGGTGTCGCTCAGCTGGGCCCAGCCATAGAGGTCCAGGAGTCGGTAGACGCTGCTGATCTTGCACCGCATGAGCCGCTCCCCCTTGGCCAGGTTCAAGGAGTCGGCTGTGTGGAGGTCATTGATGGGCGTCATCATGGAGAAGTCTGCGGGGGACAGGGCAGGGACAAGGCAGCTGTCAGGGTCAGGGGCTGCCATCTGCCAGCTTCCTTGTCCTAGTCCTCTCCAAATTCTCATTGGCACTGCAACTGCACAAGAGACTTCTGCCAGCCGGGAATTCAACATTCTTTGACCCTTACCCAGGGGAAGAAAACCCATAGAACACATAGCTGTGCCCAAAAAGTCCTGTGCATATTCGGGTAAGAACAGCATACTTTTGGCCAAAAATTGTGGCAAGACTCAAGGCCACCGAATGCAAGTTCTCAGAACGCCAAGTTTACCATAAATCCTAAAGACGGACATTGAGTAAAATCAAGAATAATTTGCTGAGTGGAAATATGGGTACACTTCATCAGCTGGTTTTAATGAAGAAGTTTCTGATCATTAGGCCTGCTATCATCATTTGGTTTAACTATGCCTTGTAACACAACTTATTCTCTGATTGGGAAACAGGGCAAATAGAAAGCCAATAAGCCAGGAAGTACATTCCTCAATTTTTTCTGCCAAGTCACAAACTTCCAGAAGTCACCGTGGCTGTGGTTGGCTGAAGGGCTCGAGGCCTCAGGGGGGCCTCATCTGTTCCCCTCTGGATATGCAGTCCCTTGGTTATCTATGATTCTTTCTGGGAATTTTAGGGGGGATATCCCCCCAAAAGAGATTTGGAAATGTGCCTAGAGAGCTTGACAGTCTTGTCCTCAGGGCACCCAAAGGGTCCAGGAATTGTCCCATTAACCATGATGACTGCTGCCTGCACGCTTCAGGAAGGCAGAAGAGGGTGTCTGAGCCCCAGAGCTCTGATTAGTTAGTGTCTAGGAACCAATAAAAGAATCAATAGGAAGGGTTTCAGCTTAAAACGATGTCTGGCTGGGAGGCTCCTGATGCTGCCTCTCCCAGCATCCCCCTAAAAACTTTAATGGATTAAAATGTCTTTGGAAGCTTCCACCATCTCTATAAATCTCATTGCTACACAATGTGAGGTATGTCCTGTATCAGCTTTGCCATTAGTCGAAAAGATGAGATTGTCTGAGAATGTGAGGGTGTATGGGTGCTGTTGGGCCCACAAAAAGCAAGCAGAGCAAGCCTCAAACACCCCACATCATGAATACATGCTGAAAGGGTCTGTGCCCCCCAGAGGTGGTACACCTCCAGGGCACGCGTCCAGTAAATGTGGTTGACAGGGACAGAGTGGTTCAAAGGCCTGGCTGAACTGGCAAGAGCAACGAGGAAATTCCAAAGGCAAGGATTTCTAATGCAAATTGACCAGTCTGGGATCCTTCCTCCTCTCCAGGCCATGCCCAGACAAGAAATTACCTCTTTACTTCACCCCTGGAAGCAAGAAGGGAGGCAAATCAAAGCAGAAGGCCCCTGGGCAAAGTGGGGGAGGGGAGGGGCTGCTGCTGAGAGGGTCTTCAGACCCAGAGTTCTTTGAATCCTTCTCTTACAAATAACTTTGGAGTCCTATTGATGGCCAGAATAGGTTTGAAGACACTCACTCCGTCATGTCTGCTGTGTCCTGTATCAAAGAGTCCCCCCTCCCACCCTGTGGAGCTTCGCTGAGAGGATTACCCACCCACAGGCCAGAGGTGGGAGAAGAGACTGGAGGGCACCACAGGAATCCCAATCCCCTTCTCTCAGGGTCTTAACAGAAAGAATGCTTACTCCGGACCAGCCTCACAAAAGTTAGGACGGCTGAGCACCAGGTTTATGACTCAGATCTAACTGAGCCGTTTATTCAAAGTACTTAAGAAAATGCAGAAAAAGATGAAAACTCACCAAACCTCCTGAAAGCTAAGACTGAAGGACACATTATTGAGGAAAAAAAATTGAAGGTAAATGGAATTGGACAAAGAACCACCTATCTGGGTTTGAACTTACGACACTTGCGTTTCCCCTCTCCACACTCCCTGACTCAGACACCCTGGACGCGCACGGATTGGATTTTCAGGCATCCAACTGTCTTCCTAACAAAGGCTGATTGGTGAGGCAGTGGGAATGCTGGTCAGCCCTGTTTCTCTCTCAAAAGGAAGAGTATAAGGCCGGAGACACGAAAATGATGAGAAAGACTATGATAGGTGTGGGAGACAAAGACCAGAGAGCCAGCATATAGACATCAGTGTTGCTATAACAGGACAATTTCTGAACTGAAAAAAAGACCTGTGTATATAAACTGTAAAGACCTACTACATTCCAGGGGGGAAAACTCCATAAAAAGAAAAAACCTACAACAATGTGCTTCCTGACAGCATTTCTGAAACACGAGGATAAGGGGGGAAATCTACAAGCATCTAAAAAAAATTTGGTTATCTACAAAGGAACAAAAAATAGGCTGTCTCAGATTTCTCTGTTACAGCAACAGATGTCAAAAGACAATGCTATAGGAGAATTACAAAAGACAAACTCTAAAATAAAGTGACACAAACAGGTAAAAATAAAAGGATCATCAAAAGTATGGCAGGCCAACGTAAAAAGAAAAACAAACAGAGGCCATAATGTTATCAAAGTAGAAGTCAGGAAAAAATCACATTCTTCTGGACAAAAAGGGCCATTTTGTAGGTCATTTTATGTGGATTAAAGGTATAACCCATAAGGAAGCTATAGTTATAAAGAAGACTCATGCTTGGAATAACATTTCATCAAGACGCACAAAGCAAAAGCAATTAGAAATACAGAGAGAAGGAAAAGAAGTCAAATACAGTGGGAGACAACACAACTCTCATTTTTTACAAAATCAAAAACAATAAATGAAGATATAGATTAAATACTATGCCCTAGAGATAGAGTCTATACCCAGATATCACTTAAAAATATTATTAAGCCACAAAGAAAATCTCAATAAACCCCCAACACAGACATTAAATAGGCCACATTTGCTAAACATTATGCAATAAAACTAGATATTATCAACAAATCTTTGAGAGAATATAAACTCAACCGCTTGGAAATGAGAAAGCACATTCTCAAACAGCTCTTAGAATAAAAATAAATCAAAACAGCAACTACAAACTATCTAGAAATTAACAATAAAAGAAATATTACAGGGGCCGGCCCCGTGACCAACTGGTTAAGTTTGCACCCTCTGCTTTGGCAGCCCAGGATTTCACCGGTTCAGATCCTGGCCATGGACCTAGCACCACTCATCAAGCCATGCTGAGGCGGCATCCCACATAGCAGAACCAGAAGGACCTACAATTAGCATATACAACTATGTACTGAGGGGCTTCCGGGAGAAGAAGAAGAAAGAAATTGGCAACAGCTGTTAGCTCAGGGCCAATCTTTAAGGGGAAAAAAAACGAAGTATTGTGTCAAAATTCATGGGGTAAAACCAAATTTATACTCAGAGAAAGAAATCCATAGCCTTAAATGACTTTACTATTGAATTAAATATGAAAATAAACCAAATCCATTTTATTCTATTCTAGGAAAAATATAAAGGACAAAATAAACCAAAGAAAAGTTATGGAAAATAATGCATATAAAAACAAAATCAATGAATTGGGAAACAAGAAAATTAGTGGAACCAATGTGTAAATCCAAGAATTGGCTTATGTGAGAAGATCTGTGAATAAACCAACCCCTGGATTGGCCAATGAAGAGAAAGTGGGAATACACAGCACCAGGAATGAGAATGGGATGTCACCTCACCCACAGCAGAAACTTACATGATAAAAGCAATATTGTAAATCACTCTAATAATTTTCAAAAGCTCCATGAAATGGATTTTTTATATAAAATATATGACCAAAATATACTAAGAAACAGCAAAATAATTTTTTAAAGAACCCTAGATGAAACTGAGAAAAAAAATATAGTTATCAAGAACGTTCTAGATTGGATGACTTTACAAGTGAATAATAAATCTTCAAGGAACAGAGACTTTCTATCTTATTTAAACTCCATCAGGGCAAAGAAAGGGTGGGAAGCACCCTGATTCATCTTATGAAATTGAAGCCTCAGTACCAAGGGCTTCCCCAATAGTGAACTGCTGACCAACCTCATGTGCAAATATGGATGCAAAACTCCTTAATAAAAGTCTGGCAAATCAAATCCATACGAGTATTTTTAAGAGAATGCATCAAAACTAGGAATGATTTATTTCAGGAATGAAAAAAAGAGTTCAATATTCAGAAATCTATTAATATAATTCATCATATCAATAGTTCAAGGAAAGAAAATCAGTAAGTGCCCAAAGTACATTTTATAAAATTCAACATCCATTTCTGAGGAAAACCCATACTGAAGTAGAATAAAAAGATATGTCCTCAACATGATAAAGAATAACTATCTCTTGTGGTAAAAAAATTCCATTAGGGGCTGGCCCAGTGGCACAGTGGTTAGGTTTGCACACTGCACTTAGATGGCCCAGGGTTTGCTGGTTCAGATCCCATGCGTGGACCTATGTACCACTTATCAAGCCATGCTGTGGTGGGCATCCCACATATAAAATAGAGGAAGATGGACACGGATGTTAGCTCAGGACCAATCTTCCTCAGCAAAACAAAAGAAAGAAAGAAAAGAGGAGGATTGGCAGCGGATGTTAGCTCAGAGTTAATCTTCCTCAAAAAAAAATTTTTCCATTAAAGTCAGAAACAAGACAAGGATAATTACTCTCTTATCTATTATTAAACATTGTACTAAGAGTTCTAACAGATGCAATGAGAAAACTGGAAAAATAAACCAAAGGGTAAATATTGGAATAAAGGATGCTAAATGACCATTATTTGCAGGTTATGTGATTTTCATATATAAAACTCCAAAACAATTAACTGAGAGGATATTAGAAGTTAAGAGTTCAATACGGGGCTAGTTTAAATAAATATATATATCCACCAATTTTCAGCAGCTACAATCAGAAAGTTGAATGAAGAATCATTTAAAATAACAGGTTATATAAAATTTCAAGGATAAACCTAAGAAATTGGTAGGGACTATATGAAAATACTCACTTTTCTGATGGACATTAAAGAAGACTTAAATAGAAGACACACATCAATTCTAAAAAGATTTAAAATTCATTCATGCAAAACTTTTTTAAGCACCTACTATGTGCCAGACACTTTTCTAAGTCCAGGACACTATTCTAGGATATAGCAGGGAACAAAACATACAAATACCCTTTCTAGGTGGACCTAACATTCTAATATAAAATTGTAAATTTGTAAATTCTGCACCACATTAATCTATTCATTTAATGTCATTCCAATCAGAATCCTAAAAGGAATTTTTGGAGGTAGATGGGGAGACTTGACAAAATACTTCTGAACTTATTTTAAAGAACAACACAAATAGTGAGAAACAGTACAGATAGTTGAGAAAAATTGGCAGATGAATAACTAAGCGTATTTTATCCGATGATAAAACACGGGATGGTGTTTCTAAGCATGCAATCAAAAGCAGAACACACAAGGAAAAATAACAATGGATTCAATTACACGGAAATTAAAGAATTCTACAACACGAAAACATCCTGGACAAAATTAAAAGGCAAAGGCGACACTGGAAAAAAACTGCAATATATTTGACAGATAGTAGGGAAATAGCCTTACTTTATAAACATTTGAAAATCTGTAAGAAAAGAACACACAAGTAGGAGAATTGGCAAAGGATGTGACAGGCAATTTACTACAAAAAAAAAAAAATCATGCCAATATGTGTGTGAAAATATATCCAACCTCATTAGTAATCACATAAATGCCTGTGAAAACACAAATAAAGTACTACTTAGCACCTATCAAATCAGGAGGATGAAAGGAATGGTAATACACACTACAGATCAGGGTGGAGGAAACAGGCACTCCATTGCATCGCTGGTGGAAATGTAATCTGGTTCCATCTTTGTCCAGGGGAATTTGGCATATGCATTAAAGTCTTTAAAACATGCATCTACTTCAGTCCAGCGAGTCTACTTCTCGTAATTTATCTTAAGAAAACAGTCATGGACACAATCACAGATTGATTTACAAGGACAGTTACTGCATCGTCATTCCCAAGAACAAAAAGTTGGAAACAACCTAAAAGTCCAAAAATGGGAAATTGATTAAAGAAACTTTGGCGTATTCAGCCATGCCATAGAATAGCCATACATCCCCCCAAAATTATATTATAGAACCCTATTTTATTATGTGAAAAATTAATCAAGATATGTTAAGGCTATTAAATTCGTACGTATCATGTGATTCCACTTTTGTGTGCACAATCTGTTTGGTAAGAGAAAAAGGCTGAAAGGATACACTGCAAAATATTGATAATAGTCATTTCTTGGTTGTAAGAATACAGTATAGTGATTTTTATTTCCTAATTTCCAACTATAATCCTGTGTTTACCTTGTTGAGGGGAATTATTTTTCGATGTTTGTTTCCTAAAGGCTGTGGGCAAAGCCTCGGGGCCCAGGAGCATGGGTTCCTGCCTCGCCCTGGCTGCTCTTGGCCCTCATCTATGAAGCCAGGATGGCCGGTCTGGTGGGGCAGGGAGACACTGGCTTCAAAGGCCTCCTCCCATCCCCCCACTCCATCTCCAAGGGAGTGGCTCTGGGGATTGAGGAAAGAGCAGCCTGAGTCAGGGCCAGATGCTACTGGGACGCCAGGATTTTTCTTAGGTTCTGTACTCATAGCTAGAGTAACAGCGAGCAGAATCCTCACCCTCTACTCCTGGGCTTTCAAGCAGAGGCCAGGTGAGGGACCTCGAGCTGCAAAACTCTTCCCTCTACGCCAATCCACTGATGAGGGGTGGGAGTGGGGAGGTCATTTATAGGCTGCCCCGCCTCTCAGAGCAGTGACACTGTGTTACCCTGCCCCTTCCCCCAGCAGAACCAGAAACAGGTTCTCCCTTAAGTCAGCAGCATCACCACCCCTCCTATTTCTGGGCATCAGAGAGAATTCTCCCCTGGGTCTTTAAATTGCAGCCGCACAGAAGCAGAGCCAGGTACCTCTGGCTGCTGCTCAACTCCCCCAGGTCTGCTAATGCAACTGCACCACTCACTCCGTAGCCTGGCAACCAAGCTGCTTCTCACTGCTCCCTCCATTCTTCCCCACCCCTCTTCCCCCACCTCTGCTCCTGGCAGCTCCCCAGCTCCCCACATACTCATGGAAGATGTTGGGAAGACTGCGTGGGAGGTGCTGGCCATGAAGTCCGCGATCTGCCGCAGGGCCCAGATGTTGGAGGAATTGTTCCCTTTCTTCATCTGCTCCTGGATGAGGCCTTCCAGCTCCTCCCTGAAAGACTGAAGCAGGCCCGAGGCGCTGGTCCCCCCAGTGCATCTCATGCAAGAGACCCAGGGCCCCTTAACCTCAGCAGCCGACTGATGAGCTCTTCCAAGTGTCCACCCCTAGCCCCTGGGTCAGCTAGACCAGGGCCACACTTGGGATCCTTGGGTCCCAGAGGGCACTGGTCATTCCACTGGGACCCCAGGAGCCACATCAAACTGCTGCGTGGGGAGAAACAAGGAAATACTGGGAATGGATCCTGTTCCCTTTGCCCTAAAGGCAGTAATCCAGATTCCAGGTCCTTCCTGTGTCTAAGTGATGGCCAAGACCCCTCCTCCCCATCAGACATGGCAGGGCTTCACTTTCGCAATTAGGAGTCACTGTAAACAGCAGAACTGAATGCAAGAGTGTGCCACCCTCCCTGTCCATTAGCCACGCCTATGGCTCTTCTGGGCCTCAGTTTCCTCATATACAGAAAGATCTGATGACCTCTCTGGTCATTTCCACTTCTGACATCCTACTACTCTAAGCTTGGTTTTTCAGACCATCAGGCCATAAATCAGGCACGCCTACCCACCAGGTGGCAGCAAGGAACACTCAGGAGGAAACAGGAGCCACTTAGGTGTTGGCAAATCTATAAAAGGACAGAAGTATGATCTCTTCTTGTCCCCATCTCCTGCCTGAGAATAGAGTCCCACCCATTCAGGCCCTGAAACTTGGGTTAGCACTAACACTGCCACTTCTCTTACCACTCCTGCCATCCCTCCTAGTCACACTCGGGGTCTTCCATCATCTCGATGCTTTTAGCACCTGCCATATTCCTCCAGGCTCCCCAACACCAAGACCTCAGGCCCATCCCCTCAGTGCTCCTCTAGGAGGCTTGGGCATTCACTGTGTGCTCTCAGCCAGGCTCACACACAACCCATGTACATGCCCTGGCTCCCTAAAGCCATAGCAGCTGAGGCAAAGCCCATCCTGACAAGCACCTGGAGACGCCAGCTCCCTCCTGGGCTTCCCAACCCTTAGAATCATGCACTGTTTCCCAGGACCCCCCAGCTCTACTGCCCTCAGACTCCCTCTTGCCTCCTTCCACACTGTTCTTCCTCTCCCCGCACCCCCTGGCCCTAGCAAGGGCCTGTATCACTCTCCTGCTTCACTGGTCCATAGGCCACACTCTGTCCTTCTCAGCGTACCGGGGCCTCAAGGATAAGCTCTGCGTCCACACCAGGCAGGCCCCAACTGACCTCAAGTCTGGAGCCTTGGTGGGGTGATTCTGTCTTCCCCTCCTGACCCTGACCCCTGTCCCAGTGACCCCTGCACCCTCCACTCTCCCACCTCCCGGGGCGTCCAGGCTTTCACCCCTACCTCATACATATCAAAGCCTTATTTGCCCTGACGGTAAGTTCTTGCCCTGTTCAGAAAGGGGAGCTTCAAACCTCCCACGTGGCGCCCCCTGCTGGCCTCCGTTTTACAGCAAGTTATTCCTTGTTGCAACTTTTGGTGAAGAGGGAAGACTGGAAACTGAGGCTCGGAAGGAGCACAGGAAACTGGAGGTGAGGCTCCTGTCTCTCAGGCCCACCTCCTCCCACCACCGAGCCCGACTGCCTCACATAAACCAGGTTTTGCCATCCACCGGTGACCAGGGAGAGAATCAAACACCCACGTTGCCAGACGCATCTTGCTCAGCCGGCTTAAAATAGCTACGACCCTGAGCAAACGGCAGAGGACTTATTTATCTTTCAGATTCACCCCGATGAATCAGCGCCGCCCCCTCCCCTCCCCTCCGCGCCTCCTTCTGCCTCTCCCGCCCGCCAGGATCAGACCCCACTCACGGGGCTCTGCAGGATCATGGTGACGCGCTTCTTCTGCTCCATCAGGTTGAAGTCCTGCCGCAGGTCCGCTGCGCGGTTGCGAAGGCGCATGTACTCAGGGTCGTCCTCAGAGAAGCGATCGAAGTACTGCTGCCCCTGCGGGGGCGGCGGGGAGGCAGCCTCGGGGACAGTCTCTTCACTCATTTTCCTGGTGGGTTTGCAATCCACGCCTGGAATCCTACAGAGAAAGGAGGAGGGGGAGCGAACAGGTTGGTGATCCCCGTCGGGGTACACGTTTCCTAAAGCAGAGAGGCTGGATTCGGCTGGATTCACAGAGGGATGCGGCTCTTCCCAGGAGGGTGTAAGCGGAACCGCAGGATGGAGGGCAGGGCGCCGGCACCTGCCGATCTATAGGGGGCGCTAGTGCATCATGCGACTAAGTGAAAATATGGCACGGGCTCAGGGGTCCACCACCCTTCCCTGACTTAACCGGCCAGCCCTAAACTGCCACACTCCAGTGGAATTGGACAGTTCCTCCCGTGCAAGCATGACCTGCAGACCTTTGCGAGCATTTCTGACATATCTACATAGTGTAAAACTATCAGGAATTAGTATTTCATCTTAAATGTAAACCCCCTAATAAGCCTCCTAAAAAATGTGGGGGCCCGCCCGGGGGCCTAGTGGTTAAGTTCGACCCCTTCCCATTCGGAGGCCCAGGGTTGGATGGTTGGGATCCTAGGCCCGGACCTACAGCACTCATCAAGCCATGCTGTGGTGGTGTCCCAAATACAAAATAGAGGAAGATGGGCACAGATGTTAGCTATGGGCCACTCTTCCTCAAGCAAAAAGAGGAAGATTGGCAACAGATGTTAGCTCAGAGCCACCCTTCCTCACCAAAAAAAAAAAAGAAGAAGAAGAAGACTGGTAGGAAATTCATAAAAGAAAACTGAAAAGACAACAGGAACTACTAAAATGCGGGAAACATTTTACACAGTGCTTTTCCACACAACTCGGACTTTGCTCTGGCCTCTGGAAAAGAATTGTTGGTGAATATGTTTCTGTAAAACGTGTCTCAATGCAGAATTAGATTCTTACTCCAATCTTAAAAGAGGTATGAAATTTTTACTAAGGGAAAATTAGTTTCTCCCAAACCCCACTAAAATGAATACTCAGAGGTAGTAAAAGCATAAACACTGTTTGAAGGGCACCACATTGCCAGGATGCCCAGAGTCCCACATATCTAGACCTGGTCCCTGGAGTGAGGACTGGGGCAGCCTTTGGAGAGCTGAGCTGGGGAAAAGCCCTAGTTTTTCTATTCAAGCATACTTTTTTAATGCCTGAATGATGAAAGAAGGAAGGTCTTCTATTGGTATATTGGAGCCCTTCTGAAGTGGGCTGCAGTTCCAGCCTCTGCCAACCAGCTGTGGGACTTGGGCCACACCAGTCTCCCTTTGTGTGTCAGCACTGCTAGGCCGTCACATCTGGGTAATGCCCCTTCGACATCCAGGCAGCCTTACGAGCTTTAGACTGCTCCCTCTTGGCTGATCCCCTTCCCAGCAAAAGAAGCCAAGTGCCTCGATTGAACAATAATTAGCTTTTGGACAGAGTAGTGAGATACCAACAAGAGAGGGTTCCATGGGGTCAGGACACCTGGCTCTCATCCTTGACCTGCCCCTCCACCTGCACCAGGAGGTGGGGTGCTCTCTTGTTCTCTCAGAGCACTCCTGGCCTCCTGGGTCCTGATCTGCTCTTCCCCTCGGCCGATCCTGTCAGCCCAAGCCTTCCCCTTCGTTCCAGCCAACAGCCCATTACGAGAGGGGCTTTGCTGACAGCCAGGAAAGCATATTCTCCTTGTCGGTGAGCTGCTCTTCCACCTTCTCTCAGGACTCTGCCCTCCACCTTACAGTTCCTCTGAGTGGGGTGGGCGGGGAGCATGCACTAGGTAAGAGAAGTGGGAGTCCGCCCATCAGCCCAGAACACTCAGGTGATTTTTCTTTCTTTTTGCATTCTTCTCCTTTGGGGCAGGGCAAACAGCAAGTTCCAGGGAAGGCACATGGACAGGGTCCCTCAAGGGGTGGCTGACGGCCTGAACCCTTGGCCTAGAGCCAGGTTTTCAACCTTGGGTGCACGTTGGAATTATGTGGGGAGCTTTAAAAAACAAGGAAATCAGAGATTTTGATGTTGTTAGTCTGGGGTGTGACCTGGACATCAGGATTTTTAAAAGCTCCCCGGATAGTTCTAATGGACAGCTAGGGCTGAAATACCACTGAGTAGATGTCAATGGTTGTAACATGGGATGGAAGGCGTCCAATCCAGGTGTCGGCCATTTCTAGCAAGCCTGCCAAAAATGGCACAAAGCCTCATGTTCTATCATTAGTGCCAGGTGCCACTGCCCATGGCTGTCCAGGACCCCTCCTCCCACTCCAACCACCACCTGCCCCCTTACACTTGACCTGGGACAGCAAGAGTGCTCCAAATGCCATCACAACCAGCTTTGGCAAGGTTTCCAAACCATGACCTTTGATCTTTATTCTCTCACTAATTAGTCATCTCCATATGAATGCCCTCAGCAGAGCTCCCCAACCAGCAGCAGGCCTGTCAGCCGTGTAGATGAGATATTTGGCTGCAAGGGATGGGATATGGAGGAGGGAGCCTTCTGGGAGTGGCAGCCAAAAAAAAATTCTCTAAAGAAAGATTTTGAAACAGATTTGGCAGGTTGCTGGAATTGTTGAGTTTGTACTTAGTGACATTTAAGCCAGATTCTCTTTTTTTTTTTTTTAGGAAGATTAGCCCTGAGCTAACATCTGCTGCCAATCCTCCCCTTTTTGCTGAGGAAGACTGGCCCTGAGCTAACATCCGTGCCCATCTTCCCCCACTTTATACGTGGGACGCCTGCCATGGCATGGCTTGCCAAGCGGTGCCATGTCCGCACCTGGGATCCGAACCGGCGAACCCTGTGCCACCGAAGCGGCATGTGCGCACTTCACCGCTGCGCCACTAGACTGGCCCCTTAAGCCAGATTCTTCATCTAAATGGAGAAAGAGTGATTGTGTCCATCAGGGATGTCTCTGGTGGAATTAGCTCTGGACTAGAAGTCAGAGCCTGTGATGTTGCCCCAATTCATCATTCTCTAGCTGCATGGACTTGGGCAAGTAATTTCCCTCCTTGGGTCTCACTTTGTCCATCTCTAAATGAGGGAGTGAACATATGACCTCTAGGGCCCCTTCCAGCTCTGACACTATAAGGAGGGAGACAGATTCATGTAGAAAAGGCAGAAGGATTGAGGATCTAGGTTTCCTGGAGCAAGAGGCCTTCTTCTTGCATCCCCTCTCCCTCAGGAGTCTCTCTTAAGCCAAATGCCAAAAGCGAACCATCTGCAAAGAACACACAAGACCTACTGACAGTTGCCTTGTGGGTTAAGAATCTTTCACCTCGATCACGCTCCCAGACAGCCTCGGAACTGGAGCTGGGCAGAAACAAGGGTAGCAAGTCAAACACAATGGGGATGTACTGGAGCCATGCAGACACGTGGTCGCCGTCCAGATTCTCTGGGGCAGAACGTGCTACAGACCAAAATTCTTCCAGGGGCACTGCCGCACTCTGCTCCGCCCCTTTTAATTCTCTTTGGCACTTTCACAGCCCCATATCTTTGATGTTATCTTTAAAACAGCAGCAAGCAATGCCCCCAGTGATTGCACACTGGATGTGAGCATGGGGAGGAGCTCCCTGCGTTCATTATGACTCCGGTCCAACCAGTGACAAAACCACCTGAGCTCTCAGCTTCCCTGGGACTAGGATCATGTGAGCCGGTGCAGCCTGGTCCTGAGCCTTCCTGGCCTAAATCCTTTCCTTTCAGGCAGGAAAAGCTTGCCTCTCTCCCCCTCAGAGGGGCTGCATTTCCCAGGAACAGGTATGTGAAGGCTCTGACCTAGCTCTCCCCTCCCTGAAGCAGGGGAAAGAAGTTCTGGGCCTGATGGACAGGAGGCCGGACCACCACACCCCCAGGCCTGCCTGCACTTCTTAGAGCCCAGCCCAGAGGGCTGCTCCCAAGGTGCTCCAGTGGGGTGGGTAGGAAATGGAAGCCCTGACTCCCTCACCATGACAACAGCGGCCTGAGCAAACCCTATGGCTCTGTGAACCAGAGGCATCTGTTTGTGGTCCTTCCTTCCCTTCCCAAAATGTTACACAGGTGATCAAAGTTGTGCAGTGTGGCTTCGTGGTTAAAAGCATGGACTCTGGAACACAATGATGAGTTCAGAATCTCAGCCGTGCCACTTATTAGCTGTGAGATATTGGGCAAGTTACCTAACCTCTCTCTGCCTCAGTTTCCCCATATATAAAACTAGGGCTTGGGTGGTTGTGAGGATTAGATGAGTCAATGTATGTGATGTATGTAAAACAGCCTGGGTGCCTAGCAGGTGCTGTTACGAATTTGCTCTTATTGTGCGTCATTAGGGGCTAGAATCACCGTGGCATTAGGAACTAGAGTAATGAGAGGCTTACGATTCAGTCATAAACAGGTGCTCGCTAAATAACTGTAATTATATGTTTTAGTCCAAAAACCTAATTCAATCTTGAGCAACGTTAACAAAAGGAAGAACATCCAGAAAAAGACTGACGAGAATACCTACTTCTCTGACCAGAAAGTGAGAACATGTCAACCTGGAGATCACAGAAAAGAGGGTAAGCAGGATGCTGAAGATCAGAGAGGCCAGCATTCATGGGCCAGGTGTGATACCATAAAGAATGTATCTGGCCTTTGTCCCCGGTTCCTGGCACAGAACTTTGAAACCCTTGGGATTCTTAAAATGTCCAAAAGACATTAGGAGTGTCTTTTGTTATTCATAATAAGCCCCTTTCACCAAACCTGAGTTTACGCTAATAAGGTACTTATGATGGCTCTCAGATATTTCAAATGAGGGACTGGCCACCAAGAAAGACCAAGCACATGATCAGAGGGTTGGAACTTCAGCCCCACCCCCAACCCTGGAGGACGGGAGGGGGAAGGGCTGGAGATTGAGTTCAGTCAAATGGCAGATGATTTAAACAATTATGCCTAGAAATAAAGCCAGGCTCCCCAACAAGGACGCCTGTTAAAAATCTCTGGATACCGAGTCTTGGGGCAGCTTCCTGGTTGGTGAGCACACTGCTGTGCTGGGATGGTGCCAGGGCCTGGTCCACAAGGAGGGGTGTAGAAGCTGTGCGCCAATCCCCCCACCCTCTCCCATACCCCCCGCCCTATGCATTGCTTCCATTTGTCTCTTCCTGATTGGATCCTTTACAATAAAACTGTAATCACAGTTACAGTGCCTTCAGGGTGTTCCGTGAGTTGTTCTAGTGAATTACAGAAACTAAAGGGCGTGGGAACCCCCAAATTTATAGCCAAGTGAGTCAGAAGTGTGGGTGACCTGGGGACCCCACTTGTAGTCGGCATCTGAAGTCAGGGAAGTTTGGTTGGCGACCTTGCCCCTTGACTTGTGGTAGTTAACTTGTGTGCCCTTTAACTCGGGGCAGTGTCAGAATTGAGGACACCCAGTCGGTGTCAGAGAATTGGTGATGCAACAGCACCAGGCAACTTCTATTCATGATTTCTTTTCATTCCCAGGACCGGTCCATGAGACAGACATTACTGTCCCAGTTTTACAGACGAAGAAACTGAATCACAGAGAGGTTGACGAACTTGCCCAAGATCACACAGATAACAGTGGGGTAGTGCTTCAAGCAGGACTGTCCCCAGCTCCAGATCCTGCCCTCCTCCACTCCACTTGTCCCCAGATATCTGTGGGGCAGCCACATGGAAGAGGGATGGGGCTGATTCCTTAGAGCCTCAAGGGCCAGAACTAGGTAGGCAGACTTTAGCTGAGGGTGTGAAAGAGAACTTTCTACCAGCCAGAGCTGCCCAGTAATGGGAAGACGGGACAGGCTGCCTTGTCAGGTGGTGAGCTCTCCTTGGAGTCAGGGGACTACAGGAGGCTGTGAGGGGCTTCTGCCGCTGCTGGAGAGTTGGACTCTAAGGAGAGCTGGAGCCTGAAGGTCCTTTAGATTCCATGTTGGCTCTGGAATCAGGAGGATTAGGGGAGTTCACGGTGATGACCCAAGTGTGTGGAAGCTCATCCTGATGAGATGGACCCAACCAAAAAGGGTGCCTCACCCCCCATCACCACCCAAAACTATCGACTGATTACCGGGAGGCTGGACCAGCCTCTTCCCAGGCTGCCTCTTCTCAGCACTCGGCCTGTGCACCCCGCTCTGCTCTCAGGGACGCCGACCACATCCACAGGATTTCACACATCCAGGTGGAAACTGGAAAACACAAACAACAAATATCAGAGTCTTGTCTGTACCATGGTGACTCCTCACCCTGTTTTTGCAGCACCATTGGGTGCTGATTTATTTTAAGGACTGCTGGGAAATTCTTCAAAATGAACTTGAAATAAATTTTTATTTTAAAAGCAAATTATGTCTATAAAAAGGTAAAGAAAGCTCTCTTATCTTTACAATTAGGATCAAAATTCCTTCCAAAGAGAGGAATTGGAAAGTCCCTTTGCTGAGTGTTGGCTGTGAGGCCTCCAAGGAGGGAGGCTGCTCTGCCACGTGGAGGGAGTGGAATGTGGGACTCCTACAGGAGCCCAGAGGGGTCATAGGCTGCTGGGCCGGAAGGAATATGACCTCTTCCTGACCTCCCCCCCAAAGAATAATCACTAACAGCCACTAAACTCACAGATGCTGGTCTAAGTGATTTTTGGATGCAGCCCAAAAGGCAGAAGAAGCCTGAAGAATGTCACAGCCCAGGAAAGCAGGAGGGGTTTGGAGTTGCACAGGCCATGAATTAGAGGATTCAAGACAATTTCTCCCAGAGTTCAAGGGGAAGAAAGGCCCCCAGCTAAAACTGGGTAACAGGTCATAAAGTACTACTGAAGGAGAAATGTAAAGTTGTTGATATCTTACAAACAAGGTTGAGTTACTACTCCAAAAATCCTAAGAATCAAAGTCTTCAAAATGTTAATCATCACAATATTACAAAAAAAGAGAAAAAGACAAGCGACAGTTTCCCATTTTCACGTGGGTGCTTTGTTGTTCACACACAGGATGCTTGTCTCATCCAGGGCTGGCAGCATCCCCGACCCCACCCCACCCCCACCACAGCTCTGGGTCCAGGCCCTACCGGCCCTGCTTCACTGGCCAGCTCAGCTCCATCCCTGACCCAATGTGTCCACATCCCACAGGGGAGCATCTGGGAAGCCTTGTGTCACCAGTGCGGGGCAAGGAGAATCCGTCTTGGTAGGTATGGTGTGCCTGAGGGAGTCTAGGAAGCTGCATGCCCCCTGAGGCACAGCTTCCCTCTCAGGGAGGCCTAGCCAGAGCACCCAGGGCTCAGCATTTCAGTGCCGAGCTGGCCCCTGAGCCAGGCCCTGATGCTCGCACCTCTAGTTAGGGAGCTGGCAGTTGCTTCCAAAAGCTATTCTCTGTGTTCTGCATGTCCAGCTGCCAGCTGGGGCCCTCCTTCCACTGGTCTTATTTTTTAACTAGAACAGAAGCCACTTGATGCTGCTTCTGGCCAATGCCTACCAACACGGGCTCCCTTCTGTTCCAATGCCTCCCTTCCAGGGTGGGCTGGTGCCAGGGTGGGGTTTGCTGACACACCTCTGGATGCTATTCTTTTGATAGGTGGTCACTGAACCACAAGGACCAATTCTGCAGCCAGGTAAGTTGTCTTACCTGAAGTACCAGCTTCCTCCCCTTCCCCAGCAGCCCCTGCCACGAAGGTGTGAGGTTGTCCCATGGCCACAACCTACCAAGATTTGGATTTTCAGAGTCTGAGCTATTTCTTCTGTCCACTGAGAGAATTAATCCTTTGCCTCTAGAAGTGACATGTACCATTCATCTAAGAAGACAGACATCTGTCCCCCAGACAGGTATACACTGAACAAGATAATTCCCATCCCAATCTCCATCGGTGTTGAAATTCCACTATTAGAGCTGCATTCCTTGGGTTATGGTGTTATCCCCTGATTCAAATGAAAATAGCCCTGAGAGGTATTGTAGGCAAACGCGTTATTTGTAAAACATTCTCTTATGGTAGCAAAACTGTCAAATCTCTGACTGCAGAGTCAGGTTGAGCAGGGCCAGAGCAAGCACCAGATCAGCAAGACTTAATGAGAAAGAGGCTTGATGCAAGGGCCACTCAGGAGGGTCCTGCCCCCTGGGTGGGCCTTGGGGGACCCTGGCCTGACAACCCTCTGAGCCTGCGCCTGCTGCAGTATCAAGACCAGCATCACCACCCATTCAGCCTTCGGTTTCCCCAGCACCTGCTTCAAGAACCTAGCTCACCCCAGGTCCTGGCCACCCACGCCCCTCAGGCAGAGCTGAGAGGCAAGAAGCACCCCAGATAGTGAGAACAGCAGCATCAACCCCCAGGGCCCCCAGCACCTCTCGGGAGGCATGGCACCTTGGGGCCACCTGCTCCTTGTCTCACTGTATAGTCAAGCTGGGCTGTGAGGCGGGAAGAGTTAGGACATGGATTCCAGCCCTAGTTGGATGCCCACTAGACTGTGAACCTGGACAAGTGACAGGCGTTCAGAGGCCTTTACCCACCTTGATGTCCCACAGCCACCTTAAAATCCACCTGTTCCAACAGACCATCGCTTCAGCCAACCCTGCACCAGAGCTTCCCTCCCTTGGCAGCTGCTCCTGCCTGCCCCCCACCCAGCCAGCCACCCCACCAAGGGGCCTGGAAGGCAGCTTCACTCCCTCTTCTCACCCTGTGCACCCACTGTGTCACCAAGTTCTCTGGTTTTATGTCCTAAATATCTCCCCCCCCAGAGCATCGCAGCCTGAATCATGCCGCCAACCCTCCAGCCCTTTCGAGGTCTCTATGCAGTTCTTGCTCTCCCATACCCACCTTCCGGTCAGTAGCCAGACTTGCTGTTCTAAAAATGCAAATCTGGCCCATGCCCATCACCGCCCTGCTAAAAACCCAATCCTGGCTCCTGTCACCTGGGGCACTGTTCCCTCACGTTTTTTCTAATTCCTGCTCCTCTAGTCAAAATTTAGTGAGCTTTAGATTGTACTACAAAAGTGACAGATATTCCTTTTATAGTTATCAAATATAAAATTTTAAATCTGAATTTGCTTTTTCAAACTGAATGCATGCTCCATGTTGGGAATTCAAACCCGCCCATCCCCACCTGAGGGACCATGCTTGTCTCTCTCCACCTGCCTCCTTCCTCTTGAGGATCATCACCCTATAGAATGAGGTCCCAGCTCTTAGCTGGCATGCAAAGCCTCATGGGCCTCTCAGTCCCCGCCCTCGCCCTCCCTACTTAATCATTGCTACTCCGGGGGCTGTTCCAGGACCTGGAAGTCACCAGGCTGGTTCCCTCCACACGCCTTTGTCAATGCGGGTCTCTGCCTGGAGCCTTCTCCCTTTAGCTCAGGTTGTCCTCTCCTCCTGGAAGCCTTCCCCCCACACCGCTGTCCCTTTGGCTCTCGCATCACCTTCACTTACCTTTCATTCACCTACAATCTGACAACAACAATCTGTTACCACGAGCTCTAGCAGGCAGGGCCTGTGTCCGGCATTTCTCTATTCCCTGTGTTGCCATAGGGCCTGGTGCCGGGTAGATGCTGAAGAAATGTTAGTTGGGCTAAAACCCAGGAAGTTAGGCCTGTTCCACAAAGCAGCACCGTCCAGGCCAAGGGGTCCCAGATGTGAGTAAGGCCCTAGGGGAGCTCAGGGTGCAGTGTGGGGAGACAGAACCCTGAGCAGCCCGTTTCAGGGTCAGATGCCAAGCATTCATGGAGGCTGCACGGCAGGTTTCCTAGTGCCTAAATCGGCTCCTCTAAAACAAAATGTGCTTTTGTTATATAACCCAAATGCCTGGGCACCCCCCCCCCCCCGGCAGCCATTCTTCTTGCCTATTTTGAAGCAGAATTCCAGCAATTGATTGCAACTCTCAAACTAACAAATCCAACTCCACCTGTAACATTGATTATGGGGAGACAGAGGAGAAGATAATATACACCACACACCACAAGCCACAGCCCCCTTGGCCCCTTGTTCAGCCCTGTCCCTTTATGTGTTTCTCTCACCTCTTCCCTCCAGCAGCCGCTCCCCCACCCCCACCCAGAGCCCTCCACTCTTTGCTCAGGGGAGCCCTAGAGCTTGCTCTCGGCGGCGTCTCCAGTTTGCCTCCTCACACTCTTGACCCCTGCTCAGCAAAGACTCTGCTTGGGATTCACCCTCCCAGGAGAGCAGCTGGGGACTGCAAATCATGAAAGACGCTCCTTGTCACAGGTCATTTTCTTCCCTGTCCAGGTACATGTAATCACTGGAGTATGAAATCGCATTTCTATGGGTTGTTCCTTGTAGCTATAAAAGGAGCAGAAGGCCTAGAAGGGGAGTAACAGGTGCCCAAGTTGTCTGACTTTTTGTTAAAATCTATTTAAGCTCCGTGTGCACTGAGGCGAGGCGGGGGCCTGTCTCCTTCCACTTCAGTGGGAGGTCTCCAGGCAGGAACAGACAGTGTGAGCACCCCGAGCCCAAAGTGGAAAGACGCTGCAAGTTGTCATTTCCCAGCTACTCCCCCTACTGCCATGGGCACAGCCACCCCCATGGTTGTGCCAGTCTCTGAATGCCCCAGACCCCCAGCCCCACAGCACAGCATTTGCTCCAAGCTTCTGACTTGAAGTCAGAACTCAAACTCACCCATCGCAGAATAAGACCTCCCAAAGGGAGGGAGGAGATGTCGTAGTGGCCTTGCTGCTGTTACTTTGCAGAGTAAATGGAGACCGTTGAATAAGGGACTAGACCACACCCTGCCTGGTTTGTTCAGATAGAGAAAGGTCATGCCTCTGCATGGTGGGATTATGGGTGAAGCTTATCATCATCTTTTTCACACGCTTCTGAATTTCCCAAGTTCTACATTAGGTAGTCACTGCTGTGCCCATTTAGGACGAAAATAGTTTAAAAGAAGAAAGGGAGAGGAAGGAAGGAGAGGGATGGTAAAGTCTCCCTCTGTCTTTCTCTGGAAACCCCCTTGGCTGGAAGAATCCTTTAACCCCCAACTGCAGCAGGCCTGAGAAGTGCTGGTGTCTGAGCTTCTCTGAGGCATACCGTCCTAGCGAAGGCCAGTGAACTTTAACACTCTTGTAGCAAGGGGCCCCAAACCTAACCGTTGGTAGGCATTTTTTTCCATTCTTCTATTATCCAGGAATTGCACTGCTGTGGAATGAAGGGACCCAGCATTCTTTCTCACCACTGAGAATCAGTTCCATCTCCTCTCACTGGACAAGCACACATT